TTTTTTTGCCATGCTGGCACTCTGGTACCTTCCGAGGTAGGCATTGTGGTGTTTTTCGGCCCTTCAGACAAAAAAACATTGCCTAAATCTGGTTTATACCAATAATAAGCTTATCCTGTTTTGGGTATAGCTGCAGGGGTCTAAACAGCACAGTAACTGCCCATATGCATGCTCTTTTCCAATGTATGGGTGAGGGAACTTGTTGCTCTTGGATAAGCTGCTTAACATTTTCCACATGCTTATGGACAACTAATTGCAGAGTTACAAACAAACCCTGTAGTTAATACGGTCATAATTTCATATTCTAGCTTACCTCATAGTAACTTGTTCATATATTCATAGCATTTGACTCCTATACAGAACTGATATTTAAGAATATTGGATGAATTAGTATTTTGATTTTGTATTTTTGATGTAAATGATTATCAATGTATATAGTGAATTAACATATATAAGGAGAATTAACATTATTTAGAATAAGAAGTCGTGAATGCCAAGGTTATGTAATGCCATGATTAAGGTTGCCTTTGCAATATTAATTTGGTCCTTTTGTGTGTATGCATTGATACAGTCTTTAATGACATGACATACTGTTTTTTTTACATGAACCTGCCTAATTCAGTTCAGTCTCGGCTCTTATTTATTGCACAGCTTCCAACCCTTACACTAAATGCAAAATTAGTAATTTCCTCATGGGCTTCTTTTATGGTGTCATCATTCTTGTATCTGCGAGCATCACAGATGTTAATTTATCTTCAAAGTGCTCCAGCATTCAGAGATGATTTTGATATTCCCATTTATTGATAGAAAGTCGAGACTCAAGAGTCTACGGCCAGAATTGTCACAGGCATGTATAATCTGAAAATCTAGTTCAGACATAGTCTCTGATTAATGAGTTTTCAGTATTCAACATCTTTCCATTCTGGTCCCAGGTGTTTTAAATTAGATGAATCAAAAGACGAGGAACACATGTGGCATTTTTACACATGCAAGTGCCACAGCACCAGGCACTTTGAAAAGTACTCAGTGCTGCAACGCATGCAGTTGTAAAAGTGGCAATATGCACGTCAGCGCTGAGAAAATGGCGGCGGCGCACTTTTGAACTAAAATGCCTTAAGAAGTGCTGTAAATTCAAAAGCACACCACCGCCATTTTCTGCGTGCTAACATGCATTTCACTGCTTATACAACTGGATGCGGCGCAACGCAATTTGCCTCTGCTCATGTGCAGAGCAAACTCGATTAATCAAGTCTGCTCAAAAGTGGCAGATTGCTGGCATGGCGTGGGGAAACAAGTATGTGTATAAATGCCCATGATCTGTAAGTATCTGTGAAAATTGTGATTTGGGTGATTTCCCCCCCCCCCCCCCTTCTCCTGAGTTACTTCTATTTCCATTCTCTGACTAGCTCCTTCCCATTCCCCTTTTTCTGCTGCTTGCTCTTCGGCATGAGAGTTGTGGAGTAGGAATTTCAGGAAGATGTTGTTCACCTGTTGTACTGAGAGTGTGTGGGCCTGTGATTTTCAGGGGTTTAGAAGATGGCCAGATTTGGGAAGTTTTCACAAGGAATGCAAAGACATGTTCCTGACACTAGGGTGAAACTCCTGTTAAATTTCAAGTCCCTGTTCCAAAGCAGGGAGATGCAATAATTTCTCAGTAAGGTGGCTGAGAGTTTTTTAATATAGACAAAAGAGCTTAGTTTTTTGTAATGTAGTCCTTTGAAACTGCTGAACTAGTTTAACTGGAACTTTCCAAAAATAGTTAGCCTGAGGCAAAAACAGAGCATAGAAAATTTCAGCCTGAAATTTTCAATTAAAGTTTGGAAAGTTATAAGCAACAATAAACAGAATCTTATAATGGGAAGTGTCAGGCAGCTTTAACTATAGGCAACACTACCAAGTCTGCATATAATAAAAGCCATATTTTTAGTCATGTAGATTTCTTGATCTTCAGATTACCTTTTCCTTAATATGACTTTCGTGGCAGCTGTATTATCTTAACCAGAAACATCAATGAAGCTGAAAGGAGAATGGCCAAGACTGAAGCAGAAAAAAAAATTCGTTAGGGGAAGGTACTGTTACCATAAAGATTTTCCTGTCCCATTAGTAGTAGTATGAAACAGCTAACCTGGTAGCACCATCTTGTGGTGTCTTTGGAGTCTGTCGTCTCCTTTATTATTTGCACAAAACACCATGCAAACAGAACAAAGCAAAGCAAAACAAATGTCCCAGCCCCAAATAACTTAGATTACAAGTATATGACAAGAGACTAAGTCCATACTGACAGATAAGTAGGAGAGCACTGAGAAACAAAAAGAAAATACTGGGCAGCATGATAGGTACCAGTATCAGCATACCAGCTGCATCTTTATTATAAAGCTTTGTAGGTGTCACAGCCCAGGAGAGTTTTAAGGAGAGAATTTAAAAGTGAAAAATTAAGTGGCTTTGCAGATTCTGACAGGAGCTCCCATGCAGGGAAAGCACAAGTGGATGATAAAAACTGATGCTGCTGGCAGAGCAGAGTTAGGAGCTGATCTATCCAAAATACATTGGGGATGATAGGGATGTGAACAGGTAAATTATTCGTCGTTTAACTGATAAACCAAGTGATAACTGATCAGCTTGCCAGTTATTGGTTGGCGCAGTCTGGCAGGGAAGGGGGCCGGGAAAGGAAATCCATGCAGTGCTCCAGAAGGAACCGTAAGGTGGCAGGGCAAGCAAGAGGGAGGGAGGAGGAGCGAGTAGGAGGGAAGGGGGGAGATGGAAGGGGGTCTAGTATAGCTAGGTTCCGTTTGCAGCCTCCCCACCTCCTGCCACAAGCAGCCCAGGCTCTGGGAAGGCCCCTGCCACCCGCCATGGAGCCCAGGCTGCTTATGGCAGGCAGCGGGGAGGCTACAGGTGGCTGCATTTGGGTCTGCAGAGCCTAGATATAGATACTAATATCCCCTCCTCTTCTCCCCTACCAATGTAATCATTTAATCATTGTAATTACAACAAGATAAACGGTTATTTTTTAAAATCAGTATTTACATCCCTAATGGAGATAGTGCTAAAAATGAAGACAAGTAGTTAGGGAAAGGGGGTCCAATGTAGGAACACAGAAAGATGGTAACATAACACTCCTTGAAATTGATATTTGCCAGTAGTATTTTTAATAGATACAAGTAGGGGAAAAAAATAATTTGTCAGTGTTAGTGAAGAGGTTATTACAGTAGTTGTGGTGTGGGTGAGTGTTTTTAGTTGTGGATGGAGAGAGCAGGCCATATTATAGAGAGAGTATGCAAGAGAAATGAGCAAGATTTAGGCACAGCCTGGGTGTGAAGATCAGGAGAGAGGTCTGAGTCAAAGATAATGCCCTTGTTGCATGCCTTAGTGATGGCAGGGATGATAGTCTTGTCCATGGCGACTAAGACAGGAAGGTGGGTTGGAAGAGCCTTGGGAAAAGATTAAGAGCTTTCATTTGGTGAGATTAAAATTTAAGATGATAGCTGGGCATGCACAAGGACGTTGGAAAGACATTGAGTGGCCTACGAGTTATCAGTCTGGAAATGATAGCTGAAGTGCTCCTGAATAAATAAAGACAGAAGCCAGAATAGAAGAGGAACAAGGACTGAGTTGGAAGAAGTTTAAGATGGGATAATGAGGATTCTCTGAACATGCTGAAGACCTGCTAGGAAAAGTAAAGGGAGAGAACTGGCACAAAAGCCAAGGGAGGGCAGACTATCAAAGAGGAATGTAGTGGACTGTATGAAAGGTGCCTTGCAGGTGGAGAAGGGAAAGAATGGAGTACAGAGTCTGAACACTGGCTAAGTTGTTATATAATTCAGCGAGACTATTTCAGTTATTCACAAGAGCTGGAAATTAGGCAGAAGGCAATTACACACAGAACCAAAGGGAGAAGAAGTAGAAGCTGGAGAAGCAAGTAAGGTCAAGGTGAGTGTAGGAATACATTTCCAAACCAAACTCGGATTTTGTGTTATTTAAAATCCAAGAAATAGACCTAAAACTAAAAGTTATTTTTACTCTTAATAATATAACATAGAAATATAGTAATATATTGCTATATATGGTAACATATGCATAGTTTCCATAAATATATAATAAAACCAACTTCATCATAGTAACTTTTCAAAAATTGAAAGTTACCTACTTTTTGTAGAGCAAATTGTTTTGTTATAGTTTTTAAAATCGAGTAACAAATGTTTGTATTTGTTACTTGATGTAACTAATTTTTTAATTTAATCAGTGATTAACAAATGTCTGCATTTGCAAGTGGTATATAATAGATTGTTAAATATTAAATATAACACTTTTTTCTTAAGTACTTTTTAAAAATGGATCTGATAAGGAAAATTTGAAAACATCTTGGCAAGTTAGTTTGGAGTGAAGAATTCATCTACCCCAGTCTGTTAAAAATTTACAGAAAAGGTTGGGTCTGAAGTGAAATTTAAATGTATTCTTCTGCTCTCATGTGCCTTTCTATAAGGATGTTTTTTTTAAATGGTAAGAAAATATTCTTGAAATAACCTTGAAATGTACAAATACATCCATTTTGAAGCAAGGCAAATACTGTGTACATAGTAGTACACATACTACTACTGGTAGTAGTGCTAGATCTTGTGTTCAAACAAATCCCAAGCAATAAGTGTATTTTTCCATTTTTAAAACCATAAAAATCAAGTATGAAAACATACCAGGCCACATGCATAGTTCATATGGTTGATAGAGCATTTAATAGCTGGCTTAATCCTTGGTAATGGATGGTTATATAACATTGAATATATAAGTGGCTTGTTTCAAACAGCAGGGATTTTTGAATGCTTATGTCTTGAACATGTGTTTAAAAACTCTCTCTTTATGGTAGAGAACTCTTCCATAAAAAGAGGTCTAAGAGATTAAAGTTGTTCTTAAGTTTGAAGTATCTTTTTATTTATTTTGGCTGATATATGACAAAGACTGTCAGCATGGTTCAATTTTCATAATCTATTTCACTATTTTAATAGGTGAAACTTACATTTGAAACCTCAGTTTTTGAGCCAGAAGGAACATCTCAACAAAAGTATAAACAAGCACAATCATCTATGAACAATCTGGTGAAGCTTCTGTGGGGAGAAGATAACACAGATCTCCAACTGGCTATCCAAGGCGTGCCTCATATTGTTATGTACCTCACGCTCAAACTGGACTCTGAAACATCTAAAGACGAGGTATGTACCCAACCAAATAACAACACAAAAGAAACCCGTTACAATACTAGCCACTGCTATGATTTTTAGTAGAAGTGGTACTGATTATTTTGTGAGTAATTTTCCCATGATTTGGTTTCCCACAAAAAGTGTATGCCTGAAATGTCAGAAAAAGGAGCCCAGTCTGCAATGTTTCATTGAATTTTGAATTTATACAGCATGGCTAAAGATCTCATAGTGACAAACAAGATCACAGGTCTGCAAATAAATTGGGGATATCTTCAATATTTAATCATTATCTGCCAAAATTTTATCACACTGTTTTAAACACGCATAGAAGGCACCATACTAATGCATAGGATCCCTGCTCATTTAACTTTTCTAATAAACGAACCAGGTAGCCTGGCTACCTCCTAGTCCCTAGGTCCATCCCTCTTCAAGATAATCTCCTGCTGTGGGATAGTATTAGTTATGTGACTTAAATGGTAGCTATCTGTGATGAAATGCCAGTAATTTAGAGTTTCAGCTGTGCTAAAAATGCATGTAGAGGGAGACCAGGTTATTGGGTAAATGTGATATCTTTTATTAGACCAACTAAATAGTTGGAAAAATTGTTCTTTGCAAGCTTTTGGGCACAAACAACCTTCTTCAGGAATAGGGAAAGTCGTATTGTGTTCTCCTGGATGCAGTAGAAGCCAATATGCAAAATGCAGGTCTGTGAAACTGCAAATGCTTAGCAGTGAGGATCTGAGGGAATGGGAGACAAGAGGTGAGAGACAGGTAGGTGGGGAAGATGAGAAATGTTGACCCGGAGATGGAAGATAGCTGGTAAAATGCAGATAGGTTACCTGGGTTTATCGGGTGGCAGGCAGACCATAAATCCAATGTCTATATTTAGTCCATGTTTTTTTTTATATCCAGTAGATTGATGAAGTGGAATTCATAGGCTCGTCTACGACAGGTGTTTTGTAAGTTCCTTTGAGGATTAGAACTGAGAGATTGGAGAGAGGGGGTTGTCTTGTGATAAGTGTTCCCCCAAAGGCAACTGGGTATTTTTGTCTTTGATAATTTTTCCATGTGCATTCATTCTGGTATGCAGTTGTTTGGTTTCTTCAGCGTATTTTCCATCAGGGCATTTAGTGCACTGGATGAGATGTATTACATTTCTAGAGGTGCAAGTGTAAGATCTAGGAATGGTAATGGTTCTGTTGTGGTGTGTAGTTATTGTGCGAGTGGTGGAGATGTGTCAGCAGGTTTTACATTTCTTGTCCTGGCATGGTCTGATTCTGGATCTGTTCCGTGTGTTTTGGGCCATAGGAACTTTGCTTCTGGTGATGAGATTGGCAAGGTTTGGTGCTTGTTTAAAGGCTAGGATGGGTGGTTCTGGGAAGATCTCTTTTAAGAATTAGGTCTTCTTCTGATATGGGTTGCAATTGTTTGAGGATTTTTCATATAGGTTCCAGGGAGGAATGAATGGTATGTCATAACTAATGGTGTGTAATTTGTGGGGATTTTCTTTTTGTGCTGCAGCGATTCTTCACATGGTATCTGAGTGGCTCTTTGGAGTGTTCTTGTTGAATGAAAGCCTTCTTGAGATTTGTGATGTGATGGACACGGCTGTTTTTCTCAGTGCAAATTTGGTGGTATTGGAGAGCTTGGCCGTATATTACAGCTTTCTTGGTGTAGTTAGGGTGATTGCTGGTTCTGTGTAGATATGTATGTTGGTCCAGGGGTTTCTTGTATATGGTGGTTTGTATTTTATTATTCTGGGTATTGATCATAGTGTCTAAAAAGGAAATGTTGGTGCTGGAGTATTCAAGAGAAAGTCTAATGGAGGGGTAATGATTATTGAACTTGTGATGGAAATCAATCGGAGATTGCAGGTTTTCAGCCCAAATGATGAAGATGTCATTTATATATCTTAAGTATAGCATGGGTTTGATGGTGCAGTTCTTGAGGAATTCTTCTTCCAGGTGGCCCATAAAAAGTTTGGAATATTGTGGGGCCATTTTGGTGCCCATAAGATGCCTATGGTCTGGAGGAAGTGTTGGTTATTGAAAATGAACTTGTGTGTGAAGATGAAGCATGTAAGTTGAGTAACATCTTTGGGTCTGTACTCTGAGTTGTAATCTTGCTCTTGTAGATATGTAAGGCAGGCTTGGATGCCATCCTGGTGTGGGATATTGGTATATAAGCTGGTAACATCCATGGTGACTAGGAGGGTATTGCTGGGAAGGTGGTCTGTGTTTTTAAGTTTTCATAGAAAGTCTGTTGTATCTTGGACAAAACTCGTCTTTGAGTGACAAGAGGTTTTAGGGTGGATTCAATGAAACCTGATATTTCTTCAGTTAGGGTTCCATGGCTGTATATTATAGGTCTGCCAGGGTTTGTTTGTGGATTCCTTGTTTGTGGATTTTAGGGAGCATGTAAAAAGTCCCTGGGTTGGCGGGAGAATCAAGTTCTGTAGTTGTTTGTTGAGGGGGTTTTTTGTAGTTCAAATGGAAATGATTTGATGGTGGTTTTGATTTTTAAGATGAAAAGGGAGTTGAATTTTCCTCTAGTTTTTCGTAGTAGGTGAGGTCAGCTGGCTTCTGTTATGTAATCTCCATGGTTAAGGATAACTATCGTTCCTCCTTTATCTAATGGTTTTATTACTATTTAGTGATTGGATCTTAGAGATTCTTCTCTCTGAGAGGGAGAGGTTATGGTGGCATTTGTTGATAGTTTCATCGTTCATTCTTTCCTTGAAGCAGTCAATGTAGTGGTCAAGGTTTGAATTTTGTCCACTGTGAGGTGTCCAATCTGATTGGGGTGGGGCAGGGGTCGAGGGGGGCGGTAATCTTTTCCTCGATGTTGTCAAAGGATAAAGTATTGTTGGAAGCGGATTCATTTTGGTTGTGGAACTATTCCTTGAGACAGAGGTGTCGGAAAAATTCTTGCAGATCTCCACATTGTAGTACATTGTTAGGGTATTTTTCCACACAGAAATTAAGACCTTCAAAGAGAACAGATTTTTCAGCTTTGGTAGGTGTGTGCTTGGAGAGAGTGATGATATTTGAGGGTTGGTTGCTTCTTTCAGTTTCATCAAGTGTGAGGTTGGAATGTTGTACAATAATCTTGGTGTTTCTCTGATGGTTGTTTTGTTGCTGGGAAAGTTGTTCTTGTAGTAATTGGTTCTATTTCTTCTTTTTATGTTGGATGGATGTTGTAAAAAATCTTTGTTAGTCTCTTTGTATATGTTGTATAATATTTGGGAAGATATCTGGATTTATCTCTTTTAAGTTGTTGCAGCATGTAATGATTTCTTTCTTGGGTTGAGCTCTTTTGGAGTAGGTTATATGAAGGAGATGATTTTTAAGTTTTTTTCTGAAGTTCTCCTGCATAGCTCTGAAGTATATTTGGAGGTGTGTGTCAGAGGATTGTAGATGTTCAGTTCTCTGGGAATGATGATGTGTAAGTGTTAGTTATTCATAAAGGAATTTGATTTTTTTTTCTTTTTAGGAAAATGTAAGTTGCATTTAAAAATCGTACCTTAAAGAACATTGTTTAACTTGCAAAATTAAGCTCCCAAAATGACAGATTTCTGGCTTTTTGTGCAACCTTAATTGAGCCCCCTTGTGCACATCCATTATGACACTGTCTTTAATTACATGGTTCCATATCGTATTTTTCCAACAGCTGCCTTCATCCAGTGGACAGGATAGACAGACAAAGGGGAAGAATTAAGGCTGCATGGGCAACCATAAATCTGGCATTTCCTAGCTGTTAAGTTCTTGACTTCGTAATGTAAATAATACTTTAAATGTTTACGTTTTATGAAATGCATACAATTCGAGAGAGATGCTGCATCGTAATCCTATAAGCTTTGCTGTGCTGTTTTTCCTTTTGCCATTTAGGAAACTACACTTTCACAGGAAGAGGCAGTTTTGGAACAAATTAGTTCATACAAGATTTTTAATGCATCCATAGAGCCTCAGTCTAGTTCATTTTCTGTAAATTTTTTTACCCCAAAAATTCCTCCCACCAAGTCGGATAAAATCACAGAACATTTCTCATCCTGGAACTTTCTTACTGCAAAAATAGAAAAAGCGCATTTACCTAGGTTTGAGAGAGAAAATTAAGAAGTTTTGTCAAAGCTCACTGTATGTTAGAGAAAGCTAAATTTTTCTTCAACTTTGAGGTCAAGATCCAAGGTTGCATTAGACTGTTACCATTCAGGATAGTCCAGGAAGAATCTAGAGACAGTTATAAAGAGAGAGCCACAACTGAACATAGTGATTCTGAATATAGTCTGAATATAGTCGCTAGCTAGGTGAATATAGAGAAAATTATTTTTTTTAATATTTTAAATGCAAGGATAATGAAATTCTAACATGCTCCAGGACTAATAGTTCCTTATTAGGAGTTAAGTGACTACAGTGGCTTTTAAACAACTGACTTATTTGCAGTTCCTATACTTAGGAGTGTATTAGGACCATCCCCTGTCTATTCCACATGACACCATAACCCCTTTTTTCTCCTTATCTTCCAGAAAAGGAGAACTGGCACAGCATGAGAGGAGTAGGGGTGAAAAAGGGCTGTAACCTGCCTGTTCTCTTTGTATGTTGACAGAGAGAAATTCTTTCCTGGAAACTTCAGGGTGGTACAACCCCAAATAGCCCCTGATCTGGGCTCTGCTTAAATAGTATAATTAAGTTATTAAACACTTTTTACCAAAATGATGCTATTACTTTTGGAGGCAAATATCTTGAGTTTTATCCTTTGAGCAGGGGGTTGGATTAGATGATGTCCTGAGGTTCCTTCCAACCCTAATTTTCTTTGATTCTGTGAATAGGGATATGTACTGTTTCAGACTCCAGAGTTTACAATACTTTGGATTAGAACTGAGGAAATGTTATCTATCTGTGTCACCTTCTATAAGTAGTCCTTTATTGAGCTTTTTGGTCTTTTGGTTTGGTATTCAAGCCTTTTTAGTAAATACTAGCAACTTTGACTATTTACTCATTCTCCAACTTCTAAGCCTTTGGCATTTAAAAGTAGAATTAATAAACCCAGAGCCTATCACAGCTATGTATATTAATGAGTTACCAAGGTTTACCATATAGCACTACACAAGGAGATCAGTTATCTTTAAAGCGAGTTTAAATGTGTCATTGTATTCAAAGGTTGCATAAATTAGGGACAACTGAAATTAATGAGAGAGTATTTTACTTTAAAAGCATAAAACATTTTTCTGAACAGAGATCTACAATATTACATGGAAATAAAATTAATAATGTTATGAATTTCAGTAAATCCTTTTACTCCTATACTTGGGAGTGTATCGGACCACCAAAACCAAAATTAAAAGTAAAAGTTATCTGCTTACAAGGAAATTAGTATTCCGTATAATCATGGGTTCATTTGGTTGGTTTGTCCATGGTTGCTTCTTTAGATCAGAATGAATAGGTGATTCAAAGTAATCGAGCAGTTTTTCAGTAATTTTATCCTTTAAGAAAATAATGTTGTTTCCACGTCCAAATTGCTAGTATCACTATCGGAAGTGTTTGTTTTGCTTGCATATAAAGCAAGTATTATTGAGTAATGATATTTAGCAGGTTCTGACAAATACTTAGTATGTAAGGTCTTTAGAAATGCTCCTAATTTTACTAGCTTCTGAATCAATCTTGAATAGTTTACAGCCTTCCTCTGTACAGCAGGGCAGCAGATCATTGTCTCCATTCATTGGTGTAGGACACAACTAAAAACATCCTTTGTCAATGCCCCGTGTTTGAAGGTTGTGGGAGGTTTTTAGATGGTTAGCTCTATTTTGACAGGAGTCTTTTCAGGCAGCCCTTTTGGGGCCAAGATTGCAGTGATCCATTTATTTTCAGTTCCTAATATGTGAGATGCATGAAATAGAAATAAAACAGTAGGATTTACTGAAATTTATAAAATTATTAATTTTATTTCCATGTGATATTGTAGATCTCTGTTCAGAAAAATGTCTTATGCTTTAAAGGTAAAATACTCCCTCATTAATTTAGTTGTCCCTGATTTATGCAACCTTTGAATAAAATGACACATTTAAACTTGCTTTAAAGATAACTGATCTCCTTGTGTCATGCTACATAGTAAACCTTGGTAACTCATTAATATATATAGATGGTGCTGCCTGAATCTTTTGTTACATTTGTCTTTTCTTTCCCTGGGAAAGTGTACTGATATTTCTCTAATGAACTTGGTAAAGGTCCCTGTTCAGAGAGAGAGAGAAGATTTTTTTCGTCCTAACCCATTCCAGTGTTGTAATTAGAAAAGGCTTTGTTCTTGATGAGGGTTTGATGCAGAAAATCCTTGTTGCTGACAAGTATTTAAAATAGAGCTAATTAAATAGGAGGAGAGTGGCAGAGTTTGTATGTTCCCTATGGTTAAACATGAAATTCATTTTAATCTTGTTGAAAAGAAAATATCCTAACAGGTTTTTGGCACTATCTAGACTTCTTTTGTGATATAAAATAAGGAAGTTAATGAATTCAGTGTTGCTTTCAAAAAATAGTATCTCGTAGCCCCTTGCCTTGGATAGACTTGATATTTCAATTGGGTTATTTCCAGGCCATCTAGTAAAGACTGAAAATACTATATAGGTTTTGGTGTAGGTTTTAGTTATAAACTGCATACATTTCATGAGTTGACAAAGTGCAGTATGTACATGGAATAGACTTAAATTTGGTTGAGCCCACACAAATGTGGTTTAAACTAGATAAGCTTGTAGAAAATAATTTAAGAAGTATAATATTTAAAGTACATTTATATAAAACAACATCCCTTACTATTTTATTATTATGGTTACTGATCTTGCAATCAGCCACCTGCAGACTTCTGCACCAGTATGGGTAAACTGAGGTGTAACCAATTGCAGGCTCAAAGCCACATTTCTTAATTCTTTCAGTACACACAACAATAATGTGTTATACTATATGTAAAATATATCATCTGTGCAAGTAAAGGGTGTAATTATGTGATTTATGGCCTCGGTTTTACAGGTCATAAATCACATCACTTATTTAAATGAAGAAGTTGGTGGTATTAATTGTATAACTACTTAGTTATCAGTGTGAATAAGGAGGTCACAATCTTACCCTTAAATAGCAAACGTCCATTTTAAATTAATTAAACATTTTAAAGATGTGAAATGGTGCAGTCATACCTTTTAAAAAATCTGTGTACACATTTGTCATTATGGTGAAGATATAAGCCTTTTTCATTTTTACAAACAGAGACATTTGATATTGTCAAAATACTCATGTTTCATAAATGTACAAGTTTGCAGCAATGTCTAGATGTAAGCAAGCAGACTCATACTAGTTGTCATACTTTGAAGGGATGTGATAAAAGATCTAAAGTCTAAGCTAACTGCTGATGCTAATATTGTTTTCCTTAATGATCTTTTGCTTTACCTAATTAATTAATAACTGAAATTTTGACAGCAAGAAATTCTTTACCAATACCCCATATCGGAAGCATCCCAAAAACTGAAAAGCGTAAGAGGAATATTTCTCACACTCTGCGACATACTGGAAAACGTAACTGGTGCCCACATTATCAGGTAACATTATTTTCAAGTTACTACAAAAACATCTTTCTTTTAATTTTAAATCCTTATTTACTTTTAGTTTAAAAACAAAATGCATTTGGGGGTTTTGCAGTTACACTTAGTCAAAAGAAGAATGAATTTACTGTACAATAAGTAGTGTTTTATTCAGCACATCCAGCTTGAAGGTGGTCTGCCTTGTCTGTGTGTACAGTGCATGGTTATGTGTTATTAGTAGGGATCCTGGTTTTCTCTGATTAAAAATTGCAAATTCTCTGATTAAAACCCCAAAATCTGTGATAAAAATTAAAGGCCCCCCAGGAGCAGGGTCAGGGGGGGAGGGCAGAGGTGCCACTCTGTGGGCCACACACATGCCGGCCAGCCTGACAGCAGGTTCGCACATGGAGGCTGCCACCGCAACTCTGCTACTGCACCCTGCGCTACCATCCCGTGGCCACCTGCATGGCTTTGTGGGCAAGTGGTGCAGAGTGTGGCAACGGCAGTGCAGTGGTAACCACTGTGTGCGGGCCGCATACATGCCGCCTGGCCAGGGGGTGGAACAGGGGGCTTGCATGCAGTGGCATGCCCCACAACTGGCTGCACAACTGCTGCTGTGCGGGGGGGTGGTGGCTGCATGCAGGCTGGGAGGAGCTTTGCGGGCAAGCACTGCCGCTGCAGAGCAGTGCCTGGAGCTGTGCAGCCGGCCTCCGGGCAGCAGTGGCAGTGTGGTGGTGGCTGGGCAGCACGCAGCGATTCCCATCCCTACCATCACCCCACGCCGTGCCGTTGCCACTGGCTGCACAGCTCCAGGAAGGGCTCTGGGGCAGCAGCAGGAGGTTTTGTAGGTAGCAGCTGTTACAGCCCTCCAAGTAAGTGGGGCCGCCTGTGCCAGCAGTGACTGCTGTTGTGTACAAAACCTCCTGCTGCTGCCGTAGAGCTGTGCTCCGGCCACATGCTCGCCTCCCAGCTGCCATTGCTGTCCCAGTGCCATTGTGCCATTGCTGTCCCAGTTACCCCACTCCAGCTGGGGCTGCAGCGAGGCTGCATGGGGAGCCAGGTTTTGCTGGGGACCAAACAGTAGCTGGCAGGTTTCCCTTCCCCGCTCCTGGGCTGACATGGGACACCCAGAGGGTCTAGATTAGACAGAGCTACTGTCTTACTACTACCTCTGTCCCCAGCTAAGGCTGATCCCTGTGCAGCCCAGCAGGAGCGGCTCTAGAGCACCTTCTGCCCCCGGGTCAACTGGCATCAGTAGCATTGGCAGGCAGGGGCAGAATGGGAGTGGAGGGGATGTGCTGCTGCGCACAGAAGAGAAGTGGGGTGCTGAGAATGGAAGGGAATTCTTACCTACTGTGGGGACTTAAAAAAAAGCCCTCCCCTTTGCTGCTCCTGCTATGTAATCTAAAAGGAAGGTGCTACTATACCACTGCACCCACTCTGGATCCACCCCTGCATATGCTTGAGCCTGCAAATTAGGTAGTGTTGATGGCTCAGGGTGCACTTGGGCACCCTGAGTGTGGCCTGCAGCACTTTGCTTAGGCTATCCAGACACAGAGAGCCAGGAGGGTTGTGCTCAGGACCACTCATTGTATCCCTGAGTCATCTACTCTGCCTAATCTGTGGGCTTGCATGCGTCACAGAGGCGGAAAGGGATCTTGGAGTCATTATTGACTCCCAAGATGAACATGAGCCTACAATGCCAGACCACAGCCAGCAAGGCCAACCATACCTTGCCATGCATCCAAAGGTTCATCTCAAGCCGATCCAGAGAAGTGATACTCCACCTCCTATATGACTTTGGTCAGGCCACAGTTGGAGTACTGCGTCCAGTACTGGGCGCTGCACTTCAAAAGGGATGTGGCCAGCCTGGAGAGGGTTCAGAGAAGGGCCACCCGCTTGGTGAGAGGGCAGCAGGACAGGCCCTACGAGGAGAGACTGAAGGACCTGAACCTGTTCAGCCTCAGCAAGAGGAGACTGAGGGGGGACCTGGTGGCTGCCTACAAGCTCATCAGGGGAGATCAACAGCAAATAGGCAGAGCCCTTTTCTCCCCAGCACCACCTGGGGTGACAAGGAACAATGGTAATAAGTTGATAGAAAATAGGTTTAGGTTAGAGATCAGAAGGCAGTGTTTTACAGTTAGGGTGGCCAAAATCTGGAACCAACTTCCCAGGGAAGTGGTCCTCGCCCCTACCTTGGTCATTTTCAGGGGGAGGTTGGACGATCAGCTGTCTGGGGTCTTGTGAACCCAGCATTCATTCCTGCCTGTGGCAGGGGGTCAGGCTAAATGATCTGTTCAGGTCCCTCCTGACCCTAGCTACTATGAAACTATGGATGGGGCATCACTCTCAGCAGTTCAGTTAGAGTTATTACAATGACCATGCAGATATAGACATCTTACCTGTTGTTTTGAGAATTTCAGTGAGGTCTAAAGATAGCATTGCACTCAGTTCACATGTCAAGTTCAGGATGTTCTTCTGTTATAAAATCTGAGCTGTTATGTTTTAAAAGATGTTTGTTTGACAAATTCTGAAGTCACAGAATCACAGAAGACACAGGATCCTAATTGTATATAAGGAAGAGAGAAGATATGAGGTTACATTTAAAAAAAAAAAAGGAAAAGAGATCTTTTGGAGTAGCCAGGAAGAGAAACAGCAGCAGGCATAATGGGCATTAGTCACCTTCCTGAAATACAAATAGAGTTTCATTTTTAATTCATGGTTATCCACTCCAATCCTTGTTTGGTGTCCCGTACTACTTATAAAAGTCCATGTGTGCAGATATCAAGGCTTTTGAGGTGAACTGTTCATAAGTGCTTACCTTCTATAGGTGATATAACAGGGAGGTTTTACAAGATGGTACAATATAGCACCTAAAATTGCTGTCATTAGCCATTTTCATGGAAACACTGGAAAGTTTTGTCAGCTACACAGTTGTATTTGTATAATCCTTAGTCAGGACACTCCTATTCCTGTATAATAGTGACTCTTTGATTCACTCAAATCTTTCCAAAGCAGCATACTAGAAGAAGCAAAAAAATATGATTATGTGATTGTACTGGGCTGTGTTTGTATTTTTTATTATTTGTACTGCAATACAAAGTATCTTGGGAATATGGTTCTACTAGTGCAACTATATGCTAATTTAAATTCGCATTTTAGGTTATGATGGGAGAACTTTCTGGTTATCTTAAGATGCTGTGTAAAATGTTTTTTATTGGAATAATAAGAGTAGTGGAAAACTTAATACATTTCCAGTAACATTCTGGATTCCCATTGTCTGTGAAACTTCGTGCCATTAAAAATGTAAGTTATGATGATAGGTTTGTCTACCTTTAATTTTTTTTATCGTGGTAGTATCTTAGGCTTCCACAAACATTAATGAATTTATCTTCACAGCAATCCTTTCATTTAGAAAGGTATTAATTAGGCAACATTTTTCAAAAATATTTGACTGGTTCCAGTGACCACTGGATGTCTTCAGGTCTTGATATGTTTTGCAGATGTTTACTGATACAGTGTTTGAACTGGAAAGTGGAACGTATTTGATTGATTTTTTTTTTTAAAACATTTTTTATAGATATATATCTCATTGCCTTTTTAAACTATGAATTGGTACCCTGCTGCATAAGATAAAAATAGGAAAGATTATGCCTATCAGTTTATTCTGTAACTGCTTAATGTGGAAGTATTAATATAATGGTTGTTTTTATGATTATCTTACAACCTGTGAGGTGCATATTTCAAATTCCACGTTTGTAAATGTACTTGTATAATCCAACTGAATATTTTTATTTAAAAATGGTAATTAATCTTTAAATACAGAATATACAAAAATGATAAGTAATGATGCCCCTTGATAAAGTCGTAGTGCTAATATTAAATTTATTATGGTTTTGTTTTATAGTTCATCACTTTTTTTATCTGGTAAGGTGGTTCAGGTGGTTTACTGGAAAGAATCTGACAAGTTGCTTGTAGTTGGCCTCCCTGCAGAAAGGTGAGTCTCAAGTACAGTGTGTTCATTTTTGTGGTTGTCGGCTATAGGTCCCAATTTTTACCAATGAGATTGTGTTGAGTTGATTCTTCCTTAATAGACTGTATGATCTTTTCTGATCAAACTAAAGCTAGTTGCTGTAATTATGACTTCTCACAGTTATTCATTTACCTTGTTCACAACTGCTTTGTGCTCCATTTTAAAATGTCTTCTTCATGAAGTGTTTCAGGACCTTACCCCTTCAATTTAATTGGCTCATAGCTGAATATGTTTGACGAGTGGGTAGATCATCTGTCATTTCAAAACTGGAATCCCCTAAACAAAACTTCTGTTTGCCTGGAAAAAGATTACACTTACTTTGTGAGCTGTGCAAGGGAGGACTTCTTGTATTTTATATACATACACAGAGTTTAGCACAATGAGAGTTGCAATTCTAATTAGGGTTTAGATGTCAATGAAATGCACATATTAACAAGATAATAGTTGTTATGAACCAAGGAGTTAAGAACTTGTAGGGGTTTATTTCCAGTTCTGCTACAGATCTCCTCATGAACATGAGCAAGTCACAAACAGGAACACTCATACACTCCCATTAAATATTTTCTATATACAGTCTCTTTCCTGAAGAAACTATTTTTTTCAGAAATTTGCTCTTTGTTTATCCATAATATATTTTATCTTATTATCAGTGCAGTTTAAAATATGTTGGTTTTATTTTGTTTCATTTCATCTAGTGTGCCTCTTTCTCAACTAAGAAACATGATTGTGGATGTTGTCAGAACCTTAAAATTTATGTATCATTCATTGGACAGGTAAGTGCCTCCAAAGGGAGTTTATATTTTAATAGCTTATTCTGTTATTTTGTCTTAGAAAACGGCCATCTCTGGAAGTTGCACCAAAAATTTTTGTCTTGCGTACATGCAGCTGTAATGTTTCTTTGTGGAACCAGAAGCCAAGTAACTGTTCATATCGTTTTGTTCTTGTCTTAAACTAATAAGGTTCTTTACATTTTCTTTGATAAATGGTATTTATTTTAAAGAGCTTTGGGTTTGAATCCTGTAAGAATATGTGATTAGCAAGTCAAAGGAACCACTGAGATCAGTTAGGAATATTCACATGTAACTCCTAGCAACAGAAAGACGTGTGTTTCTAGGCTTAGTATCACACAGCACATGGAGATTAAACTTTTTCATTGACATTTTGCAAATTAAGACCACACTGTCCCTGAGTGTCACTGCAGTTCCCTTCCCTATCTGCTGCTCTGGTTTCTGGTCCCTGTCCTATCTGCTGCTGTGTTCCCTGCACCCCCTCCCCCCCCAAATTGGCTGTATACCACCTCCAGAGGCTGCCTGTATCACCTGTCACATGTGCTGCAGGTTAGCCACACTTGACCTAGCACATACTGGGCATGTCTACATGAAACATTTACTGTGGCACTCACTAATTAGCTGCACAGTAAAGCCTCAGTGACTACATGTACGGCCCTATTAGGCCACAGTAAACTGATAAATACTACTGTAGGGTAGGACTGCCAGACACAAGTACTATCCTATGGTGGCATTATTTACGGCACCACAATGCATACATAGACACTGACAGGGCTGGCTGGGGCACAAGGTTGCTTCAGTGTGTGGACTGCCTGCTGGCTAGCCCCACACTGCAGCACCCTTGTGCCCCAGCCATCCCCTCTGCAGCACATTGAGCCTGAAGGTCCCCTGTCAGCCAGGGCTATTGCAACCCAGCTTGATGTGCTGCAGTCTGGAGCGCACATGCAAAGCAGTGCTCAGGAGCAATAAACCCCACCGCAAACTACGCCAAAGTTTTATTCAGCCACATTAATTGCATGTGTAGATGTGCCTAAGTGTGACTGCAGTTTAAATAATAATGCCATGATGTCATGTTAGTATAAGTATATTTATTTCTACATAAAAAGATTTGTATTCTGGAGGAAATCATAGTATTTCTAAGAGGTAAGGATTTTTTGTGGGTGATGTCTCTTGCATCCAAAAGCTTGTCTAAGTCTATCTCAACCATGAGTTGATCTAATAAAAGATATCATCCCTTAAAAATGTTTGCCTCACTTATTTCTTGGACTGCTACAGCATCACTCCAGCACTACCACAGTATTTCTAATTTTTTTCACTTTTGAACACAAGAAAAAAGATCTCATCTATGCAGTATTATTTGCTTTAACATCACATTTATTTTTATTTAATAAACATGAACATTTCTCCTTGGACAGGAACTGTTTCTATAAGTCCACTGAGAATTATTTAAATGCATCTCAGAAAGCTAATTCTAAATATGTTAGATAAAGAAGTTTGTTTTGGTACAATTTTAGGAGACATTTGGAATAAAGGATTTTTTTTCTCTCATTTCCTGACAAACTGTGAAGAACATACAGTAATGATATAATAATGTATTTTTTAAATCTTTGTTGTTGTTGCTGTTACTAGTTAAACAACAGTTAACAAGCCTACCTGGTCAGGTTCACTCAAAATAATTAGATTGCTAAAATAAAGAAAAACAGGTTGATTTATCAAGGTCTGCGATGATGAAAGCAATGGTGCCTCATCCAAAAATCTGTAGTTCCTGTCAGGCATGCACACACTTTTTCCCTAGCAAATCTGTTTTTATTCTGACTGTACATAGTGTTTGGGTAACAGCCTTCTGTTTTCTGGTGTTTAAAAGTGGATGTCTAAAAAAAAAAATTCAAATGGTGTTATCCTGCTTTGAAGCATCTGCTCTAGCACAGAAGGTATACAAACAAGTTACAAGTTTCTTGATGTTATTCTAACTTTCAGTTCATGTTTGTTCAGTGCTTTTTGCCAGGTGGAAAATGTTTCTCGCCTGGATCATTTTTTCAACCTGTTCTTCCAGCGAGCAATTCAGCCTGTCAGACTCAACTCAAACACCAGCCCCAGTGCTCACCATTATGATACCTACAGTGCATTACTTTTAGACAGCCTTCCCGGGGTATGCTGGCTGACATTGCCTCAAGAAGTCAAGGTATTCTCATTTGTAGATCTTTTTAAGAGTAGCTTTTACATAATGCTAAACTTTGTATACATGTACCTTTTTACCAAGATGTTTCCCTGTGCTTCTGCTGAAGGTAATTTTTGCTATTATTTGCAATAGTTGAAGTGTAATTTATATGCTCTACCCATACCAGATAATCTTTTCTGTCTCCCAGATCCTGCTCTGGAGCAGTAATGCTGAATTTGGAACCAAACATAAGTTTCCATAGGAAACACTGCTACTATAACCACAGGCTGGTGACCTCAGTCAGTAATTGGGTAGGAGGACAAGCTGGACTAAAAGAGTGAAGCCTTGTTTAAACTAAAAAATCTTCAGGAACTAGCAAATGTAGTAGGAAAAACGATTGATGGTACAAATTTGGCTTTGACCATTTAACCATTTTTCCAATAGGAGGTTGATCTTTCTTTTAATGTTCTACTTCTATTTATGCAACTTGTGATTTAGGAGCCAATTACTAGACCTAAAACTATTTCCATAAGCCCTACCAACTCCTCTGAGACTTGCTTCCTGTTCACACTGTATAATTTACTGGGCTGGAGCAACCTCCTTATAAAATGGTCATGTCCCTACAGTGTTATAACACATTGCGGTCTTAACTTATTTAGTGGACATGTTCTGTAGCATGGTTTCAACAGGGTTTGGTTCTGCCCACTGAAGGAAGTCTAAGCTGTGCTGTAACATATTTGGCACATAGTCTTGTTATCTTGCAGTGCTGGTGTCATGTATATTTTGTCAGTGTAGACAGGAGTCAGAGAAAATGTTGGGAAGACTTTTTATGAAGATGCATTTTGGATAAAAGCTGGTAATTGGGGTTTCGTTACAAAAAAGTTTGTGTATGTACGTGTGCACACATGTATGGATGCACATGTGTGTCATGACCCAAAGGCATGATTTTGTGTGCGCTTCGGCACCAGAATTATCCCCACCAGGTTGCAACTTCATTGCACGGGAGAGTTTCCTGTTGCAGAGGAGAACCCCGGTGCAGGGATGAGTTTCCCGCCTATTTGCAGCTTCTTTTGCAGGGTGCATTGCTCAAGTTGCAAGAGAAATGCACGGTGCAAAAGAGTTCCCGCCACCCGTATGCAAATTTGTTCCCCGCTATTGGCTAGTTCTAAATTATTCCCATGTGGCGGCTAACGATTGGCCTGTTAGCCGTATAAGAGGCTTGAGCAGTTTCCGCCCGAGCCGAAGAGGACTCCACATCCATCTCGTGGAGACTCTGGATACACGGCAGGGTAATAGAGACCCTGTGTGAGATTCAGAGGAGCTTGGCGACCTGATCCATCGCCCACCTCTTCCCGTCTTCGAGCGGAAAGAATTTATAAGACGTATCTACGAGTCCGATTTTGGTGGCGCGCTCACCCAGAGCATCCGGAGCTCTGTTCCGTAGAGCCTAGCACACTCCACGCGACTGTCCGTGTTGTCTGTGTCTGTAACCGCAACTCAAGCAAGTTTTCCAGCCTACACCACTACCATCTCGGTGTAAGTAAACAATCTTTAAATCTACTGTTAAGCGTCTGTGCCTAATTCCAGCTCGTCGCCCTCCCTCTCCGATCCAGCGTGCCCGGGCTACTGGCCACAGCCCGCGTGCAGCACGGAAAAGGGCCCGGGTCGCTTCCGACCCGCACAATGTGTAACTTTCTGTTGCTCATATAAAGCTAGCTCTTGTCTTATATTTTTAAATAAATGCCTGGGATTCCATATAAAGTAACTTGTTTTGTCTCCTCAACCTCAATTTGTCTCTTCAGTTCACTATAAAGAATTGTAATTAAGAAAGGAGAGAAACACCCTAGAGTGTCTGACCTGACCACCTGAACATTGCATGCAAATAATATGACACCCGTTCAGTGGTAGCTTATTACATTTTTTTCCCTAAAAGATCCAGCTTCTTTTTGTGAGAACATTTTAGGCCTTTAAAAGCAACCCATAACAAGGCTAATATAAAATATTTCCTAAATAACACAACACTTTATATGTTAAAAAAAAAAAAAACTTTAAAAAGGGGCCTTTTGTCTCTTTTTCTTTGCATTTTCACATTTTGATGTTATGTACTAGCTTAATGTCCCAGTATGAAAATTCAGTATGCCATCACAGACATTACTGCAACATGTTTTGATACTTTGTTTGGGTTTTTCTGATTGACACATCAACTGATATGTATGTCAGGACACGCGTACATGCACAGGCATAGGCATGCTGTGCATCACCAGGTACAATTTTACTGCAGCTTTATCAGTCTGCAGTTATATTTGAAGGTACACAAGTTGCTCTGCAGCATCTCGTTATGCACTTGATGAAGGCCCTAGTTGTTTTTTAAATGTTTCATTAAAAAGTCCCAATAATTTGGGACCTTATTGTAGACCTGGAGGAGTAGGCAAAAGCTCCATTAGATTATTGTATATCTGTTAATTTATTTGGTTTTAATGTGAAATGTTTAACTCCTCTTTGAGGTTGTGACCCCAAGTAATAGGGTCAGGCTACTATGACTGATCTACCTTGTCTAGATTTGTATAAAAATGAAGCGCTATTATGGTCTTTATGGTCTTCTCCTGGATGCTAAAAATAATGCAGGAATTTTCTTCCATACCCACATGCCCATTTTGGCAAGACCATACTTAAAAACTGTCTGAAAGTCTTATTTTTATCACAAAGGAAATTAAACATCATAGAAATCCATCTAGCTTTTTTTGTTTTGAGATGCAGTGGACCAAAGCAACTGTTGGATTTAGTTTTCCATTGTAGACCTAATAACTTCAAGGCCACATTAACAGTCATTCTAGTTGCAGGAATAGCAGTATCTGTGGCCAGATAGTTCTGCGTTTCTGTCCTGAAAGTGTAAAAGGAAGTTGCAAAATATTCTTTTTTTACAAAGCACAAAAGCAAGGGGATGGGTGCACAAATGGGTTACCCCAAGGTAAATGAGGCTGGGGATGTTCAGTGCATCAGTTCTTCTAGGGTAACTGCCCATTTGTATGTTCTCACTGCTGAGCCAGATGAAAGCTGAACAATAGCGGCTTAGTCCCTCAGTGTTCTCCCTGGCATACCAAAGTAAAATGACACACATTTACTACTCGGTTTTTAGTAGTAATAATAATAATAATAATAGCAGCAGCAACACCTAATTCAACAGCCTTTAAGACATAGCATCAGTCTCTGCTGCTCATCCCTGACCTGGCAGAGCAGGTAGCAGCAACTCTGTAATAGCTGCCAATTTTTGCAAAACAGCCCATTGGCAGCCAATCAGGGGAGCAGCGACCCTTGAAATGGGGAAAGAGAGCAGACCACCCTGGGATGCTGGGGGTTTGAGAGACTGCCTGTAGCACTGTATGTAACTTCCCACACATTACACAAAAGTTCCTGTTTGAAACAGGAATGTTTTTGGAGTGGATCTTCCATTTTTCTAGCTGATCCAACATCTTTGTAGTGCTTAAATGTATGAACACTTACTTTTTATAGCACTGTAAGGGCTTGTATACTGCTACAAACATGACATGCCCAAGGCCTTATATCTCAATTTCTGTATGTTATTATAACAGTGCTAGAATTTAAAGCAGTAGTGACCAAAAGAAAACTCATTACTTTTAACAGCATTTTCCCATCTAACTTAGTATTTTAACCTTTTCTCCATATTTGTTAACCTGAATACATGTCTATCATTGAAAAAAATGAGGACCACAGGAATTTTGTTCCTGACATGTAACTTTAGGAACATATGAATAGATTAGTACTCGCATTTGACATTTTTTATTTTGAAAATCCCACTTAGTTGTTTAAAGAAGGTTATAATCCAGCCTCATGGCGTCAGTGGAATGATAGTATTAGAAACCCTTGATTATAGCTTCAAGGATGGCTCATTCTACAGTTATTTCCACCATATATTTTCTATAGTGTAATAATTTATAAAATGCCATAGATTAAAGAAGGAATCTGATTAGTTGGCTGTTCTGGGCCATACAGAGAATCTCAAAATAATCTTCCTCAGAGTGCATATGCTGGACCTGGATCATTTTTATGTTTTTTTAATTCAGGAAGTGTCTGACAGCATGAGTTATACACAGTGGATCTGCTTGATTTTATTCTCTCTTTTCTCCCCTTTTTCAAGCTCTGAAATGGGAGGACATCAGAATTCAAAATGATACACTACAGTTCTGTTTTCCAACAGATTCATCTTCCTGTGTTTTTCAGAATCCATGAGTTTTCTGATTTGAAAATAATTTTCAACTGGCATTATTACTTAAATGTAGCACAAAACGTGAATTAATAGTAGTATTGTTACCTAATACTATCTAATGTTTTGTAGTGTCCAAATTGAATGTGTTTCTACAGTAATTCATGTATAATTACCAGTTAAAAAGTCTTCATTAAGCTGGAATTATGTTTGAAGGACCCCATAGCTTTTCAGACAAAAACCTGCCAAAACAGTGTTCTTTTCTTTAAAAAATAACAGCCTGGAAATTCCAATTCCAATTAAGATTCCACTTTTAGTAAAAGACTCAAATTATTTTTAAGTGTGCAATTAAAACACTTAAGGCTAGTTATATTTTTTTTCCCCATGATTTCACTCCACTCTGAAAGCAGCTACCCAATCCATCTTTCATGCAGGCTCATCTTTTTTATAGTCTAAAGAAATTATTAATTCACTCTTCATTTTAAAGAAGCTTCTCCAGGGGATGGCTGTACAGGGACCACGTGAAAGTTTTCTGTATGATCTTGCATGTGTAATTTCATACTTCCAAATTATACTGATATGTTGTGAAGAAAATTTCATGAATTTCTAGTATTTATGATTTGTGAGAAAGTTAGTAAAAACCTTGCAAGTGATGCAGGAACAGACTGCGCTTCCTCTGCAAATTTCCAAGTGTGGCCTTCTCTTTTTTTTCTATATGAACTCTTTTATCATGAATGTGAAACTGCCTCTCCTTTAAGATCAGAGGTACCTACAACCACATAGTCCTGACGGGTATTCCCCACAGTAGTACTATCCAGATATGGAAAAATGAACAGTTTGCAAAATATGCATCAGACTGATGTAGTTTTAGCTAGACTACTGCTCGTGTTCTATACTTTTGGAAATAAGGTAGCCGATTGACTAGTTATTAAAGCTAATGCAGTGAGGAATAAATAACCATTTTGTCCCTTAAACTTACATGCTCATGGTGTTTGGACTGAGGGGCTAGGATGTGTGGAAGTGCTTCTTTTTTTTTTTCTAACCCTGCTTACAGATTTAGTTCTTGATGTGATGCATGTCAGGTAAATTATTCAGCGTGATAGAAAAATACACTTTGAAACCAATTTGTGAATGTAAGACTGAGGCTGTAGCTAAAGATGTATGCTAGCATTGAAGGACCCACTTTCCGGAAACAATATTGAAATGGAAAGCTAAATCTCCTCCACCATCATTTCCCAGTTGCTAAAATCTCTACCCAAGAAGTCATGTCTTCTGGACACAAGTTCTATCGTTTTGTCTTCTTTTTCCAACATTAGAAAGGGTTGGGTGTGTCTTGTACTCCCTGCTTCCAAATATTGAATCAATTTTTAACTCGCTATCAACTTCAAACATACTGATCCTCCATTCCAGTTCTGGGGAAATCTCTATTACTTCATTTCACTGTCAGGTTCTTGGCTCTTCCAAATGGTGTCTTGGCATCTTTGCTATTTAAACTCTCCCTAGCTTTGTGTTTATGGTCCTTCTCCATTGTGAACAGCCCAGTGCCTACATCTGCCGCTACAGAATAAAACTGACCTGATCCTTATTAATATCACTGTTCTCCGTAGAGATCCCAGTAGCATTATGGAAAAAAACAAGTAGATGCTGCTCAGTTCTCTGTCTATTGAAACTTGGAAAACCTGCTTAGTAGGAGCAGAGACATTAAATCTCTCCATCTGCAAGTTTGGAAGGCAACCATACTTAATTCCAGTTCACGCTGGGGAAAGGTTTCTTTTTAACCAAAGTAGCTAAGAAGTGTACTGGCTAGGGGCTTTTAAATTTTTTAAACAACAGTGGGTGCATCAACATGTGAATATTAATGCCATGAAAAGTTCTGGTTCAGTTTGCACTGGAGTTGATTGCTTCCAAGTGCAGCATTTACAAATGTGCATGCTGCAGCATGTGTGCATGACCATAGCATATTGAGCCAGGGCAGTGCAGCCCTGGGGTCAGCCTGCCAGCTGGAGGCTGCTCTGACTTGGCTCAGTGTGTTGCAGAGGGGCTGGGAGGGGCATGAGGGTTTTACACTGCAGGGCTAGCTGGCAGGCAGCTTCGTACTGTAGCGCCCTCATGCCCCAGTCAGCATGTACATGTGTGTTGTGGCAGAGGAAATAACTCTGCTGTAGGATAGAAGTTGTATCTGGCAATACTAACCTTCAGAAGAGTTAATTAGTTTACTCCAGCATAATAGCTTTGCACATGTAGACAGGGACATTTTCCTGCTGAGCTAATTAATCTATTCTGCAGTAAATCTCTTGTATAGATGCACCCGGTTTAGATTTTCCAGATGTTGAAGACCAGGCTATAAAAGGTATTTCTGTTAGCTGGGGAAACACTTGAAGTGAATTTGAAAGTTTCAACATTTCTCAGTTTTAGAGATCTAGACCAAAAAAAGTAGGAAAATATTAGAAAAATGTCAAATAAAGACGGTGGGCACATCTATACAAGACAATAATGCGTCTAAATGCAAATAATTCTACTGTGCATTAGCATGTAGTGGCAAAAGCTGTGCTTTTGTGCTAATGCACAGTCGAATTAGTCTCCTGCACATTAGCAGCACTAAAACATGTGCTGGCTCTACTGTGCAGTAAGCACGTTATTACACATTGAGTTAGTACCTGTTATTACAAGTATTAAACTTAATGCACAGTAACTACAGCATATTAATGCACATGTAGATGCACCCAGATTTGAACTCCCGTATTTTTTAATTATTTGCAATTTGTATACATTTTTCAGAAAAACAGTTGCAGTTGGACAATATCATATTTCTGGTGAAGTGTTTTTTGTGAAGTTGAGTTAAAATTGAGTTTATATTGGGAAGGTAGCTTCAGTCTTAAGTAAGGAAAAAATAACCATTTTTTTAATAAGCATAATAATATCAGTTCTGAATGGGACAGAGGTATATTTACAACCAAAAGAGAAATTAAGAGATATTAGTTGATTGTCAACAGCATGACTGGCATTTCTATAAATTTGAAAAGCCAACTGTATGCCAGTAAGAGACGGCTTGTTTACATAGCCTGAAGCATGTCATGGTATTGCATTGTAGAGATTGGGGGTTTTTTTTATTTAGTAGCACATTTCAGTCTTGAAGCTGAATGGCTGGGACCTTTGTTTTTAAATAAAAGTATTTTTAGGAAAACTTACACTTACCAGCAACTCCCGTAGTTAAAACTATGCAAGCTTAAAGCTTTTTTAGTAGAACAACGGTAACTTGTGTGAGAGTTTTGGAAATTTCCATAGAGACAAAAACTAAATCCAATGTGAAAAAGATTTTTCTAATAACTCAGCTGGATACTAAAGCTTTGCCAGATTTCAGGATAGCCTCTTGCCTTCATGTTTTAATCCATGAAGAAAGTAAGATTGACATCTCCTTTATACAAAACAGTGGGTGCAGGAGACAGACAAGGAGAATGATATTTTCCATCATTCCAAGAGGAGAAAAATATGCAGAACTGGAAAAGATTTTTCTTTTATTCTTTTTGCAGAATTCATGTTCTTGATGTTTGATACTATTGGTCTGGGGGAACTGCAAAAAACACATGGCAGTTTTTACCATGCGTCTTTGTTTTCTTACTCTTTTGAGGCTATCAGTACTACGTTATATACAGTCTTATAATGATTATAAGTAAATTTGATGTCAAAAGGTGTTCATATTCACCATTTAAATATTTCAGATGGAAATTGATACAGCACTGAGTGATTTGGAGGCAGCTGATTTTGCAGAGCTGGTAAGGAGCATATTTTTACAGGGTAAACTATCTGTGCTGATCAAAACAACTGAATGTTAAAAGGCTTGGACCAAGCTCATCAATGCTGTTCCCTAAATAAAAGTCAGATCAGTATCACATTGGTGTAACAGTCATCCATGTTTTTTCTTGACTTGTAGTAAAAGTTTAAATAACTTTTTTTTTTAACATTTCATTAATGACTTACAGTAAATAGCTGTATTTTACCCATACCCTTTATCCTACGTTTCTCTCTGAGGTTGTACTATTAGCTACAGAGACAATTTAGTTGATATCGTTGATCTGATATAGTTGCAAGTTTGATGAATGCTTAACTTAACTAAAGTTAGCCACCTGTGCTAGAACACTTCCCTTCCTGTTTTCAGTTACTAGTCAGGATCGATCAACTCCTTTCTCTCAGAGGCATAGCAGGGTACATCCACACCCAGGGCAGCCAAGATGCGTGGGGCAGTACTGCCTTCTGCCTTGTAGACTGCGGTGGCAACTGCTTTTTTTATTTCCTCCCACAAAAGCTGCTGCCCAGGTCATGCCCCACTCAGTTACCCTGCTGCTTTCTTTCCCTTTGAAGTAGTTGCGGAATGTCTCGAAACTATACAGAATTAAATCTGCTACATAGAAATATATACAGAATTAAATCTGTCCGTCTTAAGAAAACAACTACAAATATTAGTAACAAAGGAGCTACGTGTACATGCAGTGCAATATGAGACATATTTCTCACTGCATTCTTTTTAGTAACCTTAATGATGAAAAAAGCCATTATGGAACTAAGCTATCATTCTGTAACATTGTACAGTTAAATAAACACCTGCTCCATGTGCATGATCATACATAATAATATAATTTTAAGTAAAATTTTTGTCTAGCCACAAGCTTGAATGAAGAAAACAAATTAATAAAGATTATTTTTCTTTATATATTCTTTACGTTATATCACGGTCAGATGTAAGTAGCTTTATAATTGTGAAAATTTCACCTCACTGTGGAAGCTCCCCGCAAACCAAATGTTTCAGAATAAGCATTTTTTTCAATGGAGTTCTGGACAGATTACATTCAGATACAAAGAAAATATCTTCAAATCTGTAGTTATCAACAGAGATCCAGGTTTTCCATTTCCACTTTTAAAAGGAGAAAATTGTGGACTTTCCCTTTTAAAGGAGAAAAACCTGGGAAACTTTGGGTTTCCCTTTGCAGGCTGGCAGAGTTCCAGCCTGCAGCAGGTGCTTGGGGCTCGGGGGAGCAGGAGAAGGGCAGTCAGAGACAGGGAGGCCTCGTACATGTGTACACGCATACGTGCGTGTGGCCAGCAATGAGGCCAGGCAACATGGTGTAGAGCAGCTCCCACAGCTCTGAAAGTGGGTTTATGGAGTGGGGTGGGCCTAGGCGATGTGTAGTTGGATGGGACAAGCATAGGTAATACATGGGGGGGAAGGAGGCAGGACCATAGTTGATGTGGGGGTGCTGTAGGTGACCTGTGGTACATGCGCCCCCAGATTTCTGCACCCACAGCAGGGCACTGGGGCTGCAGCCTGCCTGGACCAGCACCAGGCAGGAGCCACCTCTGCGGCCCAGTGGGCAGGACCCAGCTTGGGAGGGCAGAGCAGGGCAGGGAGGCTCTATTTTGTCCCGCTGCCACCAGGAGCACTGTGCTGCCATGCCAAGGTGCCCCATACCTGCCTGGCAGCAGCAGGGGAGCAGAACGCTGCACCATCGTCACTGCAGTGCCTCATCTTGGTGGGTATGATTGCACAGTGCTCCCTCTTCTGCCTTGTCCCATCTGCTGGGCCATGGAGGAGATTCCTGCCTGGTGCTGGTCTGACCAGGCTGCAGGCCTATGCCTTGCTGTGGGCACAGAAGTCTGGGTGAGCATATGCCCCCCCACCCCCCAAAGCCCCTCAACACATTGCCTATGATGCTGCCTATGCCCACACAACCCCTGCCCCACACACTGAGGGGCTGGGAGTTCAGGGCTGCAGGGATTAGAAATAAGGGGTACCAGCAGGGCTGGGGAGGCTGGGGGACCGTAGGCAAGGAGCGATGGGCAGGGACAGGGGGCTGCGGGTCAGGAGTAAGGGGCACTGGTAGGGCCAGGAAGCTACGAGTCAGGAGTGAGGAACCAGCAGGGCTGGGGGGTGGGGGGGTGGGCTGTGGATTGGGAGTGAGCGGCAATGGCAGGGGCAGAGTACAAGGGCTGCTCAGCGCCACAAAGCAGCAGGGGGGATGGCAGCAGCTGGAACCACATCTTTGTGAGTAAAGGCAGGGGAAGCTCTAATTTTCCATGATAATAAAACTAAGATCAAATGCCAAAACATATAAGTATTTAGAATTTATTTTATTATAATGATTCATGCAGTGGTAGGCTTCCAAATTGCTTTAAAATTGTAAATATATCAATAAAACATTATGTTCAACTGATACCTATAGAGTGGTGTTTGATTTTAATCACAGAAAAACATGAATTTTGGGTATTTTAATCAGAAAATTTTGGATTTAAGAGAAAACCAGGATCCCTAGTTGTTAGCATTTTGGGGGCTTGTCTTTTTTGAATCAGTAAAATATATCTGGAAATGTAAATTAATATTAAACTATTGTTTGTGTCTACAAAGGAAGAAAGCAAACCGAAAAGGAATGCTTACCTACAAAATGAACTGAATTAATATTGAAAATTACATGTATATATAATATCTTATTGAACAGAGCTAGGTGCTATCCATTGCATTTAAAATAAAATCTGTCCAGTTGAGATCTGCATAGCGAATGTGAGAGTTTTTGCTAACTAAATTTAAAAGGTTAATGAGTGAATTAATTTGGGATAAATTTATTTCTGGGTTCTATAAAAAGGGAGTGCCTATGCCTTGCTACTTTGCTGTAAGAGGGCCTTCTAGTGGCAGGAGTTGTGCTTCAGCTAATTGCCTGCTTTGACCTCTGAGACCTGTTTCCTATAAAAAAGCCATCTGCTTTACAGGAAGATTAGGACTGAGCAGGAAATCTGAGTATCTGTTATGCTGAGCTGGAAATAACTGTAAAGACAATTCTGCAGTGACATGAAGACCAACACCGAAGGCTAAACTTTTGTATTTTATTTAACTATTTGTTCTAATACTACCTCTCTAGTGCTCAGCTGTTAATAAATGAAAAAATAAAGAAGGGCATACTGGAAAAATTAAATAACACACTGATTACCATTTAGTGGAATTAGTTTCCCTCGGCCCTACTCTGTCATGTAAAAGTCACAAATTATACATTCGCTGTGCTTTTGTTTGCAGTCTGAAGATTACTTTGACATGAGACGGTTATACATGATTCTGGGCTCTTGTCTCTTCTACAAGGTAAGACTTGGTGGAAACCTAAGTCAGTCATGAACTAATACCAGAGCTTGACAGATATGAAAATGAGCAGTTGCCTACCTATTTAGAACTGACTACAGGTATAACCAAACTAAAGAAATGGAATAAATAATTGTGAAAAAATACTACATGATAGGTAGTACCAAAATATGTTTGAAGCCGGTAACAGTAGTCTTGCTGAATTTTTGTGTCTGATGCAGTTTTTAAAAGAGGTATAGTAATCTGTGATGAATTACCACACTGAAAAGTGCACTATTATATGATATTCTGATAGTATAATTCTTTGTCCATCCCTGTTTCTAAATGAAGACATCTGACTGTAATTAAAGAATACCACGTAGACACAAAAAACTCATCAGTAATTTTCTTTCAACTTGGCCTGTCTTGTGTTTGTGTTTTACTGATTGAGCATTGCCCTTGTTCTCTACACTGTATACAACAAATAAGAAGATAAAGCCCTGCTCTGAGGAGCTTATATTCTAGAGGCTCATTCATGCAGTTATACCTTATGCAAGTAGTCCCATGGTAGAGGTTTGTTCAAACAAGTATTGTTGCATAATGCCCACAGTGACATCTGTGGGATTTCATCATTAGACTAGTGCTAGCAGTACAGCGAGCGGTGTTGTGCACCACCACAGATGTTTTACCACCTGTCAACTAGACCTTGCGCAGAATAGGTTTAGACTGATATGGCATAGCACTAATGCGAAGCATGAGAGAGCTAGTTTTTGTACCACTAAAGAGGGACAGATATGGCAATTCAGAAGGCATGCTGCTTTTGCTAGCATCTCTCTTCAGTTCTTTTCATATCTGTTCTCTTCCAAGTGAGAAGCTGGTGACCACTTCAGCAAAAACAAATATAGCTTTTTTGGAATGCGCTTTAATTTGCTATATCATGTTATATATAAAAACACAACTAAGCAAAAAATAATCAAATGTTCTTACATCAGTTCTGTAGTCATTACAATTAAATCTACATCTCTTTTCAGGTTCATAAAACAAAATCTAACCTTCTTGATCTTGACCCCATATCCAATGCTTCATTTAAAGTTATTTTCACACCTAGAGTTAAAAACAGTCTTCAGGGCTGTAAAACAGGAGCTACATTGCCAGGAACAACTGCAAACAGCAGTATTGCAGAAGAAAGGATAGCTTGATTAGTGGAACATCAACACCATAAAAAAGGAGAGAAGGTCACCAACACCCACACCCCTTGTTCCACCCATTATTAGTTATTATACAATTATACAGTTCAGTTGTGTTTCTTGTCTGGGGAAATTATTAATTTCAAAGATCCAAGGTTCTTTGGTAATTCTTTTTTTTATTTGGGTTTTAGTACTTAGAAACTTCAAGTCATGAAGTTCCAGGGCCCCAGTGTACTAGATGCTGTACAAACAGCACAAAATGATTGCCTGCTTTAAAGAGCTTACAGTATTAACATATCAAACGTACCAAGTTGTTTAGATGAAAGTTATTATACGATGAAAACTTGTTATTGAATATATTTCCTTTTTTTGTGCTTTCCTTAAGGGTTATTTGATTGCTAATCACTTGCCAAAGGAGGACCTTATTGATATAGCTTTATATGGTCGACACTATTGTCTGTTACCCTTGGCAGCAGAACAAAGGATTGGTCAGCTAGTGATATGGCGAGAAGTATTTCCTCATCACCATATGCAACAGTGTGAAGCTTCAAGTGCTACAGGATACAGGGAGCCTGAAGCAAGATATTTTTTACTAATAGTTGGTTTGGTAAGTTACAGTTTCCAAGGCAGTTCATTTGCCGGTAGATTATAAGGCTACAACACCCCTGGAGACCTGATCTTGACCCAAAGCAAATCCTGTAGGGGAGGCTGACAATCTTGCATAGTAAATCCCTATAATTTGTCCAAATATGATAAATGGAGTATAAAATGCATACTGCACCAAAAGTTAATAAATCCTATTAACTTGTTTACAGAGACACTTTATGCTGTGTGTTTTGCTGGAGGCAGGAGGTTGCACTTCGAAAGCTATTGGAAATCCAGGACCAGATTGTATATATGTGGACCAAGTCAAAGCAACGATACTCCAGTTGGAAGGAATTGATTCCAACATAGAGGAAAGATTAGACTCTCCCTCCGTTCCACTTTTGTCTTGTGCTGACTGGTTCCTTCCTGCATCACGTGACAGACTGGACAGTTTTTCGAACCCACCCATCCTCAGTAAACTGCAAAATACTTCCAAAACAGCAACTTCTCCAACAAGCATGAGGACACTCTTTGGTGACTACTCCTTAAGGACACGTAAACTGAGTCCCTCGAGAATCGGTGGAGCTTCTGACAGTGGTTGTGAAGAACCTGAAGAAAGCGGAGGCCTTAATCCACATGCAACACAAGATCAGGTCTGACACTGGGAACAAAGATAATCCCAAAGGTTTGATGGGTCTGAAGTAGGCTGTTTAAAGCAGGGGTGTCAGATTCACCTTGTGCCCCAAGGCAGATCCAATCCAAGGCACAACGGGGTGGTGACAGCAACATCAGCTCCTGCTCCAACCTGAGGCACTTTCAGTGACTTCATCCACCAAGTGCCCTGTGCTGGATTTGGAGGTGCCTCCACTACATGACCTGTGCCAAAGCAGCATCTCTAGTTCCTGGTTCCATGCAGTGATGATCAGCTGCCAGGGAGGTAGGGCTGCAGCAGTGGCAACAGGCAAAACGGTCAGAGGGTAACAAGGCTTTGGCCCTAGCTCACCCTCCTGTCACTTATTGTCCTATCTACCTGGGACCCAAGGGCTCTGGATTCTGTAGGAGGCAGCATCCCTGGCCATTCCCCCTAACTTCCCATGGCCCGCCAGTAGTCCAAATAGAGTAGGTTCACTGGTTGGATCTGACCATGGGCTGTATGTTTGATACCTCTGGTTTAAGGTATATTGTTTTATCATATATTATTTAGTAATGTACTAAGCTGATCAAGTTTTAAAGATGATGTTACAGAGTATTTTTAGGAAAAAATCAGTTCTGTTGCAGACTTTTCTCATTTATATGCCAAATATTTTAATATGTATGGCTTTTTACTGAGAAAAACAGGTTGCTAATAAGAAACGTGCACTGGTGTTGTAAGTTACAGCTGCAGTCAACAACCAGGGTGACACTGAACATTTTATGAAACCTGACACATTAATTATGCTCATTCATTAGTACCACATTTACTTGAATATAAGATGACCTTGAGTATAAGGCGTCCCCCCCAGTACAGTAAAAATTTTATCTGACATCCATGGGGAATGGAGGGTGCTGGATAACAAAATATGCCGGATAACTGAGCGGCCTGAACAGGTGTCTTTGCCCGTCTGGGCCACCGCCTGTCCTGCCGCATCTGGGGTGTCGCTGCCCCTGCCACCTCATTGCCACGCTTCCCACAGGCCCCGTGGATCCCGAGGGACAGGGAGGGGGGACCCACACAGGCTGCTATGCCCGGGACCATGGGGGTTTGGCAATGCAAGCTGCTTTCCCCCGGGCCATGGGGGCTCCGCGAAACCGGAAGTGCCACGGTGGGCACTTCCTATTTCACTTTTCCGTTACAAGCTGGCATGCCAGTTAACAGAGCATGCGGGCTTGTAAGCTGCCAGATAACTCAGCTTTTACTGTACTTAGATTCTATATATCAAAAATTTCTAAATTTGTTATAATTTTCCACTTATAGACTCTAAGGGCATTTATACACATACCATTTTGTTCCACGATGTGCTAGAGATCTGCCGCTTCGGAGCACGCTTGATTATTCGTGTCTGCTCTGCATGTGAGCTGACGCACACTGCTGCATTGTGTGCAGTTGTAGAAGCGGCAAAATGCGCATCAGCGTACAGAAAATGGTGGCAGTGCACTTTTAATCTAAAGCACCTTCTATGTGTTTTAGTTGAAAAAGCTCACTGCTGCCATTTTCTCAGCACTAATGCGCATTTCACTGCTTATACCACCACAAGTGTTACAGCACCGGTCAAAGCACCTAGCACAGTGGTGCTTACGTGTGTAAAAATGTCCTAGGTCAGTGGTCCCCAACATTTTTATGGTGAAGATCACTTTTTGGCACCCCAGGATCTATTGTGCCCCCATCGTCCCCCAGACAAGCTGCCCGGGCTCTGACCCCATTCGCCCAGCCCAGCCTGGGCAGCAGGGGATGTGGTTCAGCCCAGCCACGTGTGTCCTGCTGCTCCTGATCATGGAGCCTCTGACAGACTGAGATCGACTGTCAGAGGCTCCATGATCGACCAGTCGATCGAGATCTACTGGTTGGTGACCACTGCCCTGAGTACTGGAAGGATGTCTTCCACGCCACAGTGTTGGTTTTGCTGACTGGCCAGGCAGGGGAAGGAGTTTCCTTGTGCTTCATGCCCAGTAGAGACCCCAGCCCCAGCCAAGCTGATAGTAAGGAGGAGGGAAGAGGATGTGCAGGAGGGAGGGGGCAGAAGCTGCAGAGGGCAAGTGGAGTGGGGGGTCAGGAGGCTGCTGTGGGTCTGACCCTGACCCCAATTCCAGCTCAGGGCTAGAGCCACAGTTTCAGCAGGCACCTGTTCTCCCCTCTGTTTTATTTGCAAATACAAGATGAGGGGCTTTTTCATCCCATGCTGATGGTACAGTAATTATTTTCCCTATATAAATGGAAACAAGGCAATTCTTTATACTTCCTATAAGTTATGCATGGTTATTTTAAAGCTAGTTTAGTTTTCTTAATTGTTGTTTTGGATTTGCATAAAATAGTTCCTGGAATTTAAGAAATCATAACTGATTGCCCTGTATTTTACTACAATTCTTAAGGCATGATTAAAATGATCAGTGAGATTACTCCAATGGTTAAATTGTGGCAACTTGTAAAGAAAGGACCCTGCTGATTTGAGTCCCAAGGGCCTTTATTCAAAGCTCATTTAAATCTGTGAAGACTTCCTGACATTAGTGGGCTTTAGATCAAGCCCATAATCATCACAGATTTCTTTCATCTGGATCATCATTGCTTCTAAATATTTGCCTTTCTGATGATTAAATTGGCCACAGCTGTGTTAAACTTTAAAAGTAACCGGAGAATTTTTCAGAGATAACAGTATAAACAAAAGTGATGAGGGCAACTTGTTATGCATTGTACAATTACTACTAATCCATTTTAGTTTGAAATAGGCTATAGACTATAAAATTCATTATAGAAGTTGCTGCAGTTGTTTATTTACTTCCCTTTTTTAGTAACCGATGCTGTTGTTGGCTGTACATTTTCATTCCTACTTATGAGCATTTTGTTATTTTTGCTTGTGCCATTTGTTTTTTAGGTTACTAAAAAGAAGCATACCCTTCCAAATCCTTTTAATTTAGGGAACCTGAAAAAGAACCTTTCAGAGAAAAATACAGAACTGTATAACGCTGTCAAGTAAGAGATTACATGTTTTCATTTTCATATTTCATCCTATGTTCATTGTTCTTCTAAAGATGTATGCAAATCACCAAAGGTTCTGTTTAATTATAGCTGATAACCCTAATCAGATGTTTCCCATCAAGGATCCTGCAAAAGCAAGGGTCTCTATTCCAAACAAGAGACACTCAGCCACTGTGGTAAAGCCAAAAACAAGAGCTATTGAAGATTTAACAATGGAGAGAACACTAAGTGCACATGTGCCTCCCACCCAAGTTTGGAACTTTCACTGTTCATATCCATTATTGCTGCCTACATGTCGTGTGCTTCCTTATGTTCCCAAGTTTGAGATAAAGGGCAAAGCAACCATGACCTTCCCTCGGTTCCTTCTTATGCCTGTGGTAGCTCGACAAAACCTGGACGCTGCCCAAACCACTTGTTTTTATTTTATTTTTTTTTATCAAAGCTTTAAACAAACCCTTTATGTTTTCAAGCAAATTTCTTTACCCCTGTTTAGTTATCAATTTTTCTTTTGTTGGTTATTGAAAAAAAAAACAAGAGACACTGGAGACCTGTCCCTCCATGCCCTTATATAACCTCTTAAAACCTACCTTTCTTAGAATAGCTTGGTGCACTGAATCGGCAGGTATAGCAAGTATCTCTTCTTTGCCTCTCTTCCCTCCCCGTTTCATTCTTTGCATAACCTGGCCCCTTGTAGACACAGCCCTGCCCACCCCCTTCCACCTTCCATGCTCCAAAACTGCAGGGCTTCTCATGCATTTTTCTCCTTGCTGGTGAAGTTTTTGCTGATTTATTTATTTTTTGCAGCAAGCCTGTGCTTTTTCACAGAGCCCACCCAAAATAGTGGTTTCTGCGAAAATCGTGCATTCACAATTTCAGCAGGTCCCTAGTTATTTGTCTGTGGGTGCGGAATGCATTCCATCCCAGAAAGAGGAAAGGGCTTACAAGCCCTCCCATTGGGCATGCGCAAGCTGATGAGCTTTTAATGCAATTCGGCCAGTGAACTAGGAGGTTCCCCTTCTACCCACTACACTCTCTTTCCTCAAGTAAGGAGATAGGCAGTCGGGATTTTTTAAAAACAGTGGTAATTCGAACAAAAAGATTTGTCTTCTGTAAAAACAAGAAAATCTTAAGTGTCAGTGTTCATGAAAAGTAAGAAACACGTAAGAAACAAGTGCATTTTGTGTATGTGAGGTTACACTTACAGATTTTTATAGAGTTTCAAGTCAATTATTCTCTTACTTTTGAAGGTTGACTTCTGGTCCTGAGAACACCCTCTTCCACTATCTTTCTTTAGAAACAATGCAAGGAATCTTTATTACACCAACACACAAAGAAGTAGCACATCTCAGTGGCTCCCTCCACCCTCAGCTCATCAAGAACTTTCATCGTTGCTGTCTTTCCATTCGCTCCATTTTCCAGCAGACCATCATGAAAGAAGTATGACATTTCTCTTCATTACAAAACTGGGGGGTTTTTTGCATGTGTTTTCTTTGCCTAATTGCCCTAGTCATTATTTTCAAAACCACTATTGTTTCAATATTCAATTAGAACACAATTTGAAGATTTTCCCTCATATGCATTTAACATACCCAGTGTTTTACCTAGATGGGCTGGATCTCTGACCAATAGTCTAACCAAATATGCATGCCAAGCAGACTTCACTTTCCAAAACAGTGCTCTGAGAATGAGGTTATTCTCTGTATATGATGTTATCACTCCTGTGCTACCCATTGTTTTGTAAGGAGTTAATACATTGAGTTCAAAAGGCAAGGAAGAAGCAGCAAGAGAGGAGCTAAAATTACCCTCAACTGCCTCATACAAAGGCAAAGAGAGAATTATATTTAGTGACATTAGTGCTTTTGAGGGATACCAGATTGAGAACACTGGAGGTTTAAGTTCTCTATTTCTTCACAGAAAATGCACGGCATTGGGCAGTGACAAGGCCAGCCTCCCTACACTGCCCTGCCAATGTGTCTCAACCCTGACCTGAAGAGACCATCTCTGAAGGTGAGAGGGTAGCTCATTCTCATTGTTTTTGCTTGCTGAGCATCTCCCTGCTAAGATACTCAGCAAGTGTGCCAGCCATTAATGTTTGTGATGGATAAGATTTTCACATGGACCTCTGTCCCTTAGAAAGTGCACTGCAGCAATTTGTCTTTCAAGCATGCCACCAAATAATCTGTTAGATGATAGGCATATGGAGAATTGTTTTCAGTTTCTTGGCAGCTTTATTTTTAATGACATCTAGAAGGATACTTCATGAGTTTTTTTTTTTTTTTTATGTTAACATGCTTCTTATTGCTGCTAATGATCAGATTATGCTAATGAAGACCCCTTCTAGTTAAGGCACTGTCTCCCTGCCTCGTACGGTCATAGTTGCCAGAAAGGGCTGTGCAACTGTGATGATACTTTTCTGTGCTGTAAATCTAGAGAGGGCTGTAGAACATGTGCTTTATGTTGTTTCCTGCATTAGAGTTTGAATCGGCCTAAAACGGGTAGGAGCTGTCTCATGCTGTGCAGCTCTTTCTGGTCCAGCACCCCCATGGCTCCTACTGCACACAGAAACAGTCACTGCCCCCATGGCATCCCACCTGAGAACCACTGCTGTAGGTGAATTACATATAAAATAAAAATGGGTGGAAACTCGCAAAGTATTCTTTTGGTGAGGAATTTTTGGTACCAAAAAATCCCTCCCCAAAAGAATACTCTGCCACTCTCCACCCATTTAATTTAGAGGGATATTAAGTTAGGAGTGCCTCAGTTAATCACAGCTGCCATGATCATACAAGGCAGGGAGGCAGTGCCATAGGAAAAGTGATTTTTTTGCCATGGTTTTGGTGTAAAGCCCCAATGAAGACTAATGGCCAGGCCCATTTGTGAGTGTTTACATCTGGAATATTTAAAAAATAATTTAACGTTTGATTAGCAATTGAATTTTTACCTACAGCAATGGTTCTTAGGTGGGATGCCGTGGGGGCAGTGACTATGTAAAACTGCCCTGCATGCTTCCCCTGCATTAATGCTGCCTAATCAGTCTAAAGAGGCAACAAAGCTGCCTTGAGCTATGCAACTCTTTCTCGTCTGTCCCTTGCCACATTTCTCGCAGAACTGGGCATGGGTCAAACTGTCCCATCCACTTCTGTTTGCAATAGGAGCCAGGGGGGTGCTGGACCAGAAAGAGATGTGCAGCATGAGGCAGCTCCTGCATGTTTTAAGCTGATTAGAGCTCTAATGCAGGAAAGAGCACAGTCTAGGCTCTCTAGACTTTGCAGCACAGAGAAGTATCATCACAGTTGCACTGCCCTTTCTGGCATCTGAACCCTGCTGAGAAGCACCAAGGAAAGCCAAAGCAGCACAAGCAAGCATTTCTCAGCTACGGATACCACTGCATTCAAAAAAGCAGGGGTGGGGTGCTCTGACCCAGAAAGTCTAAATGGATGAATGCCATACCTAACATGAGATTTTTTTGGCCTAAGAGCAGACACTACATCCTGTATTAATTTTCATTTGCTGTGTGGCTGATGTATTTGTGCCACTGTCAGTCATTACCGACTTTGAACCAAATTAATACATGAGGAAAAAGCAGCTCCAAGGTATTGAAGTCCTGGCAGTCCCTCACCTGGTAGTCTGTCATTTAACACTTGTAAATGATGAGGAACAGAAAGTAATGGTACAAACTAAATGCATATAGTTTGAAAGTAGTGCTTCTGTTGTTTAGTTTCTAGTTTGAGGGTGTGAAGGATATATGCCAAAGAAGTAATTTCCAATTGGACTGCTGCTCCTCATGTGTCCACTTGGACTTTTTAAGGCCTAGAAAAATGAATGAATAGCTTGGATTGTTCTTTCAGCTTTACATGGAACTGGCTGTGCTGCCTGGAATCTAGGCCATGAATCGTAATGCACCTACCATTGTTACTTCTGTAGGTAGGTATGGAAATGTAAAAGCATGCAGAGATGGCAACTGAAGAAAGGGACAATTTAAAAAAAAAAAAAAAAAAAAAAAGAGACAAGCCCAGAAAACTTGTAAATTCAAATGGACTTTGATCACTGCTGGCAAATATACAAGTTTTCAGTTTTAGTCTAAACCAGACATACCTGGGTAAAGAAACCATTGACACATGCTTAGGCATTTCCAGGTGCATCTAATAAAAAGTGGAAACTCATGCATGAAAGTGAAAATGTCTGTTTAGGCCACAGCCAGCTCAAACCTTCCTGCTGCTTTAGACATATGTCAGCATAGTGGATACCAACTGAGTTCATGCTACACTGGAGATCAAAAAACAACTGAATATGCTCTGGAGACAAGAGATTTACTTGTGGAGGGGAGTCAGAGATGCCTGAATAAACCAATTCTGTAATATCTCAGGGCTGAATAATTAGACTATTACCTGTTAGAAAATTTTAGGACAGATTTTGAGAGTTTAGTCCAACAACTTATGCTGTTACTGGCAGCTTGCCATTTGGAAAGCTGTGGATTCGGAGGAGTGTTGTATAGGGCTTTCCTCCCACAATGCGTGATAGATAACTGTGATGCACAGAAATGTACCATCACATGCCATGACCTTTTAAGATCAATTAAACCTTGTCGTGGCTTGGGTCTTTGCAGAGATGATTCAAAATGACTACAGTCAAACCGATTAATAATTTTTTTTTAGTCATTTTCTGGAGACTGAAAAGTCACTATGGTTTATACTGAAAAATCATGATGGTTTATGTATTCTGAATGTATGAAGAAATTTAGACTAAGTGGTGGCCTGAGGAAAAATAAACATTTAATCCAGAAACCCTAAGTGTGTACCAAACTGTTTATGACAAGCAACTTAAGACTCGCATTCATTTTACTTGCTGAAGAAAGAGAAAGACGTATTATGATTTGTCCTTGAAAGTGAAAGGGAAAAAGCTTTTAATGCATATGAAAGTGAAGAACTGATAGCCCATATAACTCTGCCAGTACAGTGTACTTAATTCCTCATAACTTCCCTGCTCATTTAGTTTTGGGTATTTTCTGAATGAGGAATGTATATCATATCCAGGTATGATGGGAAAATAACAATTGGAGAATTAGATGAGACCATTGCACTCACTTTATTTTGACTGAATCATTTTGAAATCTAGATAAGAACGATTGATGTATTCCTTAAATCTATGAAGTAGCAACATTACCATGAATGAACTGTGAAGGGAAATTCTCTGCAGAATTTTAGGGAAGGGCTGGCTCTAAAGTTGCATGCTGTAGCATTCGCTCTTCACTATATTTTTAGTGGGTTGTACCTCTGAAGCTTGCTTTGTCCCTTCTATGTAGCAGCATATTTTGAGAGATTAAAAAGCCATTTCTCACACATGGAATCCCAGCTGTTCTATTCATTTAGCACCCTGCTCTTGCTCCACACTTTGCAAATGGATATTAGATAGTTACTGTGATATTCTTCACTATTTTGCCTGTTTTCCTCCTCAACTGTAAAAGCTAAGTATCTCCCCACCCTGCTGGCACACCCATACTACAGCCAGTTTAAAAACATTGTTGTTGTCTGCCTCAGCCAGGCCAAAAGGCCATCTCTCTATCCTTCTTTCCAAGGGGGAGGATTCTTCCTCACTTTCTCTTTAAGTTTGAAATAGTAGTTCCTTGTAAGATTTTAGTGGAACAGGAAATTTCCCAAGATAGCATTTCCTCTATGATATTGTAGACTGAAGAAGAGCGCTGCTCAAAGAGGACTCTGTTTTGGTTTCTGCTCACTTCATTACATTTTGTTAAGACATGTAGTGTGGAACCTTATTTCACTTTACATGCCATTTAGGTATGTATGCGATAGCATAACTGTAATAGTTTTTGGCGCTTACACAGAGTTTGTAGTTTGGCTTTGGTCACTTAAACCTGCACGTATCCACTGAGCATGGACAGATATGCAGCTGTATATGGTTACTTGCATACATGCGAGGCTAGGGAAGTTCTGAAATTTTAGCTGAGCAAAAATCTATGTAGGTGTGGAGCAAAGGACACTGCCATGTTTTAAGCCCAGTAGCTTCAGGGCTAAGATACTTGTCCCAGGAGCAGGAGATCCAGGTTCTAGGTACCACCCTGCCATGTGGAAGAGTTTGAACCTGCATCTTTTCATTCCTAGCAAAGTGCTCAAACCGTATTTTAGACCTTATCCAGATCCTTCCTCAGCCCTCCTCTTAAAGCCAGTCTACTGGATAGCCAGAAAGGGAGAGGCAGAACCAGTAAGTAGCCAGTAAGCCAAAGGGTATGTAACTCGGTAATGTTATTCCCTTCCATGCAAGGGTATGTAATTCATGTTCCTTTGCATGGAAGGGAATCTTGGGGCCTCAGTGCAGTATGGTAGTGTGAGAGTGATGGTGTACTTGTAGTTATTGAGATCTGCCTTTATTCCAGCAATACAGTTGGACCAATAAAAAGGTATCACCCAAAAATCCTGGTCTCTCCATGCAGTATGATGGAGGGTTAACAGATTGAATTTTATTAGTAGATGTTTAGGATTGTGAATCCAAAAAGATGACAAAACTGGTAGGGAAATACAAATCGCCCGAGCAAGGGACTAACACTAGAGGGATGAGGGTGAGGAGGGGCATGCAACTAGGTTACAGAAAATACAATGTTAGCCAACTAAGCCCGGGGGTGGGGGAAGGGGAGGGAGGGGGTTCGCAACACTGAGAGAGGAAGAAGATAGATGCACACAAACCTGTACAATGGTCCACAGTGGTGGAGGAAGTAGGTCAAAGAAAGTGTCTCAGTCCATATAGTCTCATTGCGGGGGTCCTCTTTGGGTGGAGCGGGGTCGTCCGTTGCTGAAGAATCCTCTCAAAGATAAGTCCATCTGGTGCTTTCACTAAGCTTTCAGGGAAAACAAATCATAAAGGCTAGGGACAGAAATTAGATGTAAACTGGTATAAGTGATTGAAAATCTGCTCATATCTGTATCACATTAGAAGTTCAGTGCACATAAACCACTTTCAAAAAGGCTGAAACCAGTTTAAGATTAACCTGGATGGATGTAGTATCAGACCTAACTGATTTTTAGGTTAAAATCAGTCCCAGATACTCCAGATTCAAATCAACTCAGTCCGCCAGCAACCCAGGAAGCTTTTCAACCCCTCCCCACTGCACAACCTCCGCCCTCCTCCCTTGTAGGGTAGGTGGGCTAGTCTTGGCCTAAGCTTTCTGCCCCAGCTGAGCAGGGAGGTGTGCTCTAGCACCCCCTGGCTTCTGGCCTGAGCCACTGCAGGCATGTGGCTAAATTTCTGGAATAAAAAATGAATATCATTTCACTTGCTTATTGGTTTAGTCTGTGCAGTTTAGATTAACCTGCAAAGATTGAATCAATTCAGCCTTGGGCTTTTTTGACTGTGCTTAGCCAAAAGGAAGCTGTATCCCTCCAGTACTTGTAGCAATGTAAGAAAGCCCAACAGTACCAGACTAACAAAACAATGGATAGCTACTTCCTGGAGAGGGGTGGGGGAAGAAGAGAAATCACATGCAAGCATATGACTTTTAACATTCCCAGTCTTGCTTTTACAGGGTATCATGATTGTGATCTCTGGATCATTCAACACAGAGCAAGTAATTTACTCGCTCTTCTCAATGCTTTACCCTGTAGTTTCATTATCTTGTTTACCTCCCAAAAATTTCATACTCTAGTAACTTTTTATTTGCTCTTTTACAGAAAAAGAAGAGGGAAGGCATTGGAAGCAGCTCACTGCCCAGCAAGGCAAATTCTGACTTAGATTTAGTGAGAGAACATGGCATTTTGTTTGAATGTTCCCCTGATAACTGGACGGACCAAAAGAAACCACCACCAACTATGACTTACTGGGTTGTAGGGTAAGTAATGTATTTACTCAGATTTATATTAGATGCATGTGTCCACCTCACAGCATTCTGTAGTACTCACTGTATCTATGTGTTCTGCGTTGTGGGTATCCTGTGTTTTCTTTGGCTGTCTCTGAAACTATCAAACCTCTCAGCTGCATTATGCTCCTCACACACAACTCTTATTCAGTGGTATGGGGAAGAAAAAGATAGAAATGTACAAAACTAAGAGAAGGAGAGAGATTAAGTCAGTTTTTTTCCTCTAAGAAATCCTTTTGAGTTGATTTTCTCATTAATTTCTAGGAGTACTGTCCTTTCTCCACAATTATCTCATGTTACTTTGGCACCAAACAGTTCTCAAAAGTAAATGTCAAACACCCAGAATAAGGATCATTCTTAAAAAAACAAAGAAAACTATAGTGGGAAAAAATAAGTTCTACTGCAACTTGAACTCTTACAACTTTGGAAAACTATGCAGTTGTTTCGGTCCAGAGCATTAGGCCACCACTTATCTTGCATCACTCTTCTCCCATCTTTTTTAGCACTGCCTTTCCGGTCTGTATTACAGCTCGAGTGATGAGAAAGGTTCAAGCTCAGTCCATCAACAGTACTTGACCTCCTTCTGTTTCCAACATTCTGTCTTCAATCTCCTTACTAGACAAAAAAGAAAGGAAGACAAAATGTTCCAAGAGCTGGAAGGACTGACATGCATACTGATCCATTCTTCCCCCATGCACGCAGCAAACTATTTACAGGCATGGGATCAAATGAGCGTTTAATCACTATGTTTGATTGACACACTGAACTTTTGCTGAGCATTTGAGCTGTAATACTGATTGTAAAGGGTTTTGCTCCAGGTACTTCAGGTTAAGACCACAGAAACCACATTACCAAAGCACATTTCCATATGTGAGCTAAGACCCCACTCCTAATATGTTTAGGGCGAACGTCACCATAAAAATAATCAATTTAGCCTCCAATCATCATTTTTTTTAATGGTATTTTTGAACTACCCTCTTCTTTAGAACAGAGTATGCCAGTTTTTAGTTTACTCAGTTATCCTTCAACTCAGATGTCTTAAGATGAATAGACAAATGGCTGTACGTAACTACAGTATGTATGCCTTGACAATACTGCTGTTAGGACAGAAAAGGCTAAAATCCTGAGATCTCCTTCACATGTTTATGGAATCTTTAAGAAAAGTTTTTGTTTTCCAGTCTCAGCATGATCAAATGACATGTGACACCAAGTGCAATTCAATATTACTTGGGGAGAAAACTACTGTAGTCACACATTAATAACCTTATTGTTTAGGTTCCCTCCCTGTAGGCAACCAGAGAGCTGGTGTGTAGGAAAGCACCTGCCGAAAGAAACAGTATTAATTTTTAAAAGATGTGAATAGTGTAGCTTTCCTCCCAAGTACCCTTGTGAGTGAAGCCTGAGAATAATGAGTCATGGAAAACTGCAGAGAAAGCAGTATGGGTGAAGGTATACAAAACCTGAAAAAGTTTTGTACTCTTCAATCTTAAAGGCAAGTGAGTGGAAATTAAACTTAAATTGTTTTGAATAGCTAATAGATAGCGATCAGGTGATGTAGAGGAGGGCTGTAGACATTGGCCATTAGCTTTACTCTACAGTTGTTTTCAGTTTGTTATAGAAACCTCATAAAATATGGAATTTCTAAAACAGGAAACAAACACCTCCTCCTGACACTGGAATTTTGTTTTTCTCTAGGAGACTCTTCCTACATCCAAAACCTCAGGAGTTTTATGTCTGTTTTCATGACTCAGTCACAGAGGTTGCTGTTGAACTGGCGTTTAAGCTGTCCTTTGGCTTAGCTATATAGATGTATTTCCTGACCCTGCAGCAGTCCTGAGCTGTGCTGAAATCTCTCTAAAGTACTTTAATCTAAACAGAAATGAATTAAGTCATGATGCCCTTCTGTGAGTACTTTGAAGTTCTTTAAAAAAAAGAAAAGAAAAGAAAAAGAACTGGCTCTCTGTTAAACAAAGAAGTAACATTTCAGTGCTGATGTATAACATCAACTGCATATGGAAAGAGGTTTTCCTGAGCACGAAAAACCATCTTTTTTATATACAATCAAATGAATCATGATGAATAAAGATTGCAGTTTTACTGCATAGAAACATTAGCATGTTGTGTACATTACAGTAATGTCCAATATGAAATATAAGGTAAAAGATATTACACTTGATATGCTGTCTCAGTATTTGGCAATCAGTGATGGAAAAAGAAACTTCCTCAGTAATTAAGCTCATGCAGCTTTGAAGGCATGAAAATCCTGGACATTTCAGTACTTCTCTTAATAAAATGAAGGGAAAATCTACAACCAAGTGGCATTGAGATGTGCAAAATTAGCAGGTTATCTGCATTCTGCTCTTCCACAATCAAGAGCTGTTGTGCTGTTAATATGTTAGTAGATTTCATGAATGGTACCATTAAAACAGTACAACATTGCCATAAAACAGACTGGATCTTTATGAAGTGATAGAAAATAAGAATGTGTATGTAAAAAGACATTAGTTGATAGTTTTGTTTCTCAAAACTATGCATGAACCTAATTATTTTTATATTATTTTGATGGTTTTTAATAAAGAAATATGTATATTTATAAGATGAAAACAATGTACTGTCTTCATTTTCTTATATTTACTTATGTTTTCTATTTGTCACATTAGGCAATATTTACAATTAGTTAGTCCTGTTATAATTTGCTGACTTTTGTTTTTGGGGGTTTTTTAAAAATAAATTGGTCATTACAGGTTGGTTCATAGGAGGTAAAGAAAAGTGAACAAATAAATTAGAGAACTCCTACCAAATCCATCTTTCCTGCAGACTGCTATAAAATGTGTAATCTAAAAGCCAAACTGTTTTCAATAGCTTTCTTACTAGCTGCTTTAATTTAGAACAAACATTTGTGGGTCCTTTCTTTTTATTCTCTCCTCCCTCCCTAGGTAACATATACAAGTATAAATACTTGTATATACTTGTATTATGATGCTACCAGAAGGGCCAGCATTAATCACATTCTGTCAATGGCTGAACAGTTCTTTTTGGGGTTCTGCCATCACTGATTGCTTTTCATGGTTCAGCCAGCAAGAGAAAGCAGGGTGATCAAATCAAGCCTGATCAAATTTGTATCTAGTTCTGGGGCACTACATTGAGAAGGATATGGAGAAACTGGAGAGCGATGAAATGATAAAAAGGTTGCAATGCAAGCCATATGAAGAAAATTTGAACAAACTAGGTATGTTTACTTTAGAGAAAGAGAGATTAAGGGGGGACATGATAGCATATTTGAAAAGCTGCCAGAAAGGGAGAAAACTTGGGAGGGAGAAAAATTGGTCTACCTGGTCAGAGGGCAGGGCACAAAACAATAGGTTTAAACTACAAAAAAGAGAAAATCTCAGGGAGAAAAAAAACTTCTTAACTTTAAGAATAGGACAATGGAGCAAGGTGCCTAGGTGAGTTGTGGAATCTCCTTTATCAATGGTTTTCAAGAAGAGGTTGGATGGTTTAGGATATATGAATTCTGCCTCTGTGGAGGGGGTCGAATTAGATTAACTTAGATGTGCCTTCTAACTCTAGATTTTAGTAGTATGGTTCATAGGAACATAGGAAAGTAGAAGGGACTTCATAAGGTCATCTAAGTCTAGACCCCTACTCAAAGCAGGATCATCCCTAATTAAGTCCTTGTGCCCTTCTGTGTGTACTTTGAAGTTCTTTTTGTTTAAAAAAAAAAAGAAAAAACTGGCTCATGGACTAACTCTGTTAAACAAAGAAGTAGCACTTTGGTGCTGATGTATAACATCAACTGCATACGAAACGAGGTTTTCCTGAGCATGAAAAACCATTGTTTTTATACACAGTCAAATGAATCATGATGAATAAAGATTGCAGTTTTACTGCATAGAAACATTAGCATCCCAGCCAAGTGTCTGTCTAACCTACTCTTGAAGATATCCATGGATTGAGATTCCACAACTTCTCTAGGTCCCCAGTTCCAATGCCTGACCAACCTCAGAGTCAGGAAGTTCTTTCTAATCTCCAACCTAAGTTTCCTCTACTGCAGCTTGAGTCCATTGCTCCTAGTCCTGTTCCCTTCCAAAGAAAAAAGTCCGTCTCCATCCTCTCCATAATCACCCTTCAGGTATTCTGAGACTTATTAAATCTCTTGTCCATCTTCTATTCCCCACACTAAATAACCCTAGCGTTTTCAGCTTTTCATCATTAGTCATACTACCCAGGCCCTTAATCATTTTCATTGCTCTGCCCAGGACTCTTTCAAAAACAGTCCATATTCTTGAATCATTGGGCCCAAAACTGGATGCATGTTCCAGGTGAGGTCTCACCAGTGCTGAGTAGAATGGAAGAATCATTTCCCTTGATTTGCACATAATACAACACAGCACACTGTTGACCTTTTTTTGCAACAAGAGCACGCTGTTGGTTCATGTTCACCTTATGGGTCCTCTAGCTTCCAGGTTATTTTCTGCAGTACTGCAGCCTATGTATTCATTCCTCAGTCTGTGTTTGTACATCAATAATTCTATTCCAAGTATAGGAACTGGCACTTATCCTTGTTGAATCCCATCTGATTGACTGCAGACAATTTTTCCAATCTATCCAGGTCATTCTGGATCCTAGCCTTGCCCTCCCCAGTGTCTGCAATCCACCCAACTTAGCATCGTGTGCAAATTTGCTAAGCATGCACTCAATCCCATCATCCAAATCATTAATGAAGATTTTGAACAGTACCAGACCCAGCACAGACACCTGAAGAACCCTTTTTGATATCTCCTCACAATTGGACATGGAGCCATTGATGATTACTTGTTGAGTATGATGATCCATCCACTTATGAATCCATGCTGTGGTGCTTTTATCTAACCTGTTTCCTTAGCTTGTTAATGAGAATGTCATGGGAGACAGAAGGCCGGATAAGTCTTGGCAATGTTTCCGTGACATCTTGCATGCAGACTCTTGGCAATCATCCAAACCAATATGTCAGGCTGGCAGATGGATGCTTCCATACCCTGCAGAAAGGAATTGCCAACCACCATTACCTATTGCTTCCTCCTGGCAGCAGAAGTCTCGATCTTAGTTCTGCTAGGGGAATATGGTATGGCATCTCCACCTCTGGATTGGGCTCTGATGCCAGGACTTCATATCTGTTCTTCATCTAGACAACCACAGGTTCAGAAGAGGCTTTCTGTTGCTACAGGTGACAAACTGCCAGCTTCTGTCTTCCAGAAAATCTCCACCTTGTCTTCCAGTGCCCTCTTTACCTGTCCCTCTTCATGATGCTGGAGGTCTCTGTACATTGAGTCAATGAAAGTGTCATGCTTGCAAATACTTCTGATCCTGTCCACCACCTCCTGCAGCTCCTTTACCTGATTCCTGAGAGAATCTACTACAAGACACCTCTCATACTGCAAGCACACTCCCACTTGGCTGTCCCTGTCCAGGATCTACAGGCCACAGGCTCTGCAAACCTGGCCAGAAGTTAGGTGGAAACCTCAGTGATCAGTGGCTGTAACTAGACAGCTCATGCAGGTGCCAGCTGAGGAAGAGCTGGCAGTGGCAGGGGCTTTGGCATTGCAACATCTTTGAGCCACCCTCCTGATTCTCTGGCAAGCTCCTCCTTCCTTATCTACTAGTATTCCTAAAGAATTCCCTCTTCCTCCCTTACCTGCCTCCACTCAGCAAGTTTGTAGTGAAGAAAGAAATAGTCTAGGGAAACTCCCTACTTGGAGTCCCCTTTTCACTGGTCCCATATTGCTGATTTCTAGGAAGCCTGGCTGTAAAACAAGCATTTTCCTGTTCACATTGCAGTCGGCTCAATCAGTTGCTGAGTTTGAGAGCTCCTCTGCTCATTTCTCCAAACAGTCCTTCAAAATGAAGGGTTAAAGCTACACCACTGCAGCAAACTGAAGCTACAAGCCAGGTACTCACCAGCACTCACAAACCCTCTCCCCCAGGCAGCTATGGCTTCCTACTCCTCTCCCAAGTAGGCAGCTCACTCAAACTCTCCTGTTTGCTGTCATATTAGCTGGTCCAATGTCACTTGCTTCTTTAATGGTTGCACAATTAAGCTGAAGTTAAAATGGGTAAGAAAACAAAGGAAGACTGATTTGCAGAAAATCACGCTTAAGGTGTTTCAAAATGGGAAATTCAGATCTGAGGCACACACAAATGTGTGGTCATTTGGAAGATTTTGATCTATACTCCATATGTACAAAATGGTGGGCAGTATAATATGAAATTGACTGCATATGTGAAATATTTACAATTCTGCTGACATTTGTCAGCACTTAAAAAAAGTAAAGTGCTATAGGACTACTTGGTATTAAAATGAGGGATTTTGCAGTCACTGCTGAACTTCTTCCTGCCTGAAACAGCCCAGGTATTGAAGGTGAACATACATGCAAATAAATGCACACTTCAAAGAAACAAAGTGGGCAATGTAGTAGAAAAGTCACTAAATCAGTCCATAATTACTTTAGTTGCTGATACCCAGAGGGGTTTCAGAATATCACAACAAGACCCGCATCCCTGCACCGCAGAGTCCTGGCATTGGTCAAGTGAGCTGTGCGGCCCTTCCAGCTTGGCATGGGGGTGGGGAAAATGTCCCTCCGTCATTCCAACCCCATCAGGCCTCCTACCTCAGCCCTCTGGCTGTAATCCCTGGGGCTACAACTAATCAAGCCCACAGCTCTCCACACTCTAAACCTCCAGGCTACATAGAAACAAGCTAATGTCCCCAATACCTCCCATCCTGTAGTCCAGTTAACTGCATTCTCTAAAGATTTTACAATATTGCCAATAAGCAAGCTACACCCAAAGGGACAGGAAGGAAGAGGGAAAAAACAGACCAGCACTGGTATCAGCATAGGACCAGTGTCCAACACTCCAAGGCAGGAAATGGAGTGGGACTAAGGTATAACAGTTAAGGAATGGAGGGTAACTAAAGAGGAAACCACAAGGACCAGGAAACAGCAGAAGGGATAGGAGGCAGGACTAGCAGATAATGCACCAAAGGCCCTAAAGCAGGACTAGGTAGCAACAGACATGAAGCAGAGCATGACAGACCAAGTGACTACAGATTAAAGGGATCAGAGTAGGCAAAGACACCAGGAGAACAGACACAGTAGGAAACAGAAGTTAAGGGAGACAAGCCAAGGGGGGAAAGAAGGAAGAGGGAGACAAGAAGACAGCATAAAGAATGCCTGGGGAAAGGGGACTGCAGACAACACAGGGAAGTGAAGGAGGAGGGTGAAGGAGCCCACAAGCTAGGGGTCCACACAAAGCAGCAGTATGCAACATGGTGGGGTGGGGGGAACAGAATTGATTGTGAGAAGCAGATGCAGCTAAATGAAGTGCCCAAGTGCCTTTGTTAAAGGAGACATTGTCAGACTGTTGCTGGTTGGGACTGGCAGGACTCCCACAGGCTAAGTTAAGGCCACAGGTAGGTTGGACTTTTGAAGACAGGGTTAAGCCAGGTAGATGCGCACGTCCTACAGCTACAGGGAGGTGCTAGGAGAGGAGGGTTTTCTGTGCACTGTCTTGCCACCTGTGCCATTAGCTAAGCTTTTAGAGCCCAGTGTTCCCC